TTGTGTTTAGTTTGATCCTTCTACCATATACGAGATGCACTTATCTACGACGAGATGGTATACAAACTTTAACGATGGGGTGTATAAGACTTTCTGCCTGGGCAGCGAGTATTTACCATAAACTGGCGCTCTGGGTCTACAGTTAATTTTCACTCGATTTTTCCTCCACGTGACTTCAAAAGACACAAAACACACGTAATAATACGAATCAAAATGCATCATCTTCCAAAACGCAGGGTATTTAACAAAAGTTGACACAAAATTATAACCTATAATTTGGCAAGACTTTGACAAGCGTCAAAAAATGACAAAATCTAAAGGCGAGTTCATACGCATTGGCGTCCGTTTATCGTTCATCGTTCCGTCAAACCAATAAAATTGAAATACGATCTGTCATTTTTTAAATAAACCAATAAAACTGGTTAAAAACAACAAGACACGACGCATGACGGATTTATATTTAAACCCATCCATAGATAACTTAAAAATTATTAGAAACTTTTTTTAGTAAAATAAATAGATTGGTATGGGACGTCATCTGCTTTTCTTCTGTCATCGTCTGTCGAAATCTTACCTGAGAAAAAAAACAGAGTATATCTTCATTTCCAAGCGACCTCTGACGCCGTTTTTTTAGATCGTATGGTATTATACCACATTATATTACCCTTTATGGAGTCTAGCAGTTTATGTCTAGCAGCAACAGTTTACATCAAAGTTAGCACACAGGATACAGGTGTAATTCCTAACACCACACATTCCAAAAACTCACAATTTAAACCCAAAAATAGGATTTCTGTTTGAATAGATCAAACACGAAAACGGGTTTAGGGATAAAGAACAAGCGATTTTCAACAAATTTTCACCTATAATTTTGTCACAAATTCTTCATTGTGAGATCCTGAGTTTGGTTTGGTTTTTCGACATTAGTTGAGGTTAGGATAGCATTTCTGCTAGAACAAGGCTAGAACTATGAGTATAAGAAAAAACTAAGTCAAACTCAACCAGTTTTGTTAGTTTCAGTCATTTTTAAGCCCATCCAATATCGACAAACGACCGAATTCACCTCGAATTTCACTAAATCAAAGAACTGAATAATACACGATGCAAAAATAAATAACTGTCGAGATGGATTGTGGGAAATTTTTTGCGCGGGCGTTTTAAATTATCTGTATTACTAGGAGTGGCCAAGCTCATAAATATCCAGATTATCCAGAAGATACCAACAGGATATTTTGTTGCCTTGACGTAATATATATCTATCTGTATGGTTTATTGCATTTTATGTAATATAAAAAGTAGTACATTGTTTATTTTTCCTAAATATCTAGACGATATTGTTAGGATATTTTATTATCATGAGCATGTTTGGATATCAGCTGGATGTACATTAGATATACGACAGAGATATCCATAGGATATTCTATTCTGAGACATCTACAGGATTTCAGGATGTCTGGAGGATATCCTATAGATGTCTTTATAAGATGATCTTATAATGGAACATTCCGACATTCTATGAATATCCTGCGTATATTGTGTGTTATATGGGAACTGAAAGCGGAACTGAAGAATCTGGAAGAGTCCATCCGTAACCTGGAATGGGTGTCCTCCAACGGTCTAAGCCACTCTAAAAAGTTCCTCAGAACTTACGACCGAGAAAAATCAAGGATTTTCCTTGATTTAAGTAAAAACAGTCTTCGAATTGTCGCGGGGTTTCTAACAGGACACTGTCTCTTCTGAGAAACAACTGAGCTGAGAAACAACGGCGAATGCAGATTCTGTGGGGAAAATGAGGAAACACCAGAGAACCTTATCACTGAATGCGCCGAGACGACGACCGTTCGTGCCATGAACTTTGGTACGGCTGATGTCGAGGATGGAGAGCTGGCCTCTGTGGAGCCGTCTCGGATACTGGCTTTTGTTAAAGCCCTGAGACTGTATGATGAGCTATAACTCAAGAAAGGGGAATACACAATAGATCTGAAAGGTCGTGGTGATTAACTCCCCTCCTAAACATTATTCTACATTCTACCCACTTCCATTATCCGCTGACGAGTATTTGACACGCATTAGAAGATGGTTACGCAAGACGCTTTCTTTCAGGAGCTTTTCTGTGACTGAAAACCGCGATACGTGAGGTTATCTCTCTTCAGCACTCCGGACATTCAAACATCTCATTAGTTTGTTGCCTCTTTACTTTTTGGTTGTTGTTATTAACTGAGTTTTAGATTCTTCTCCATTGCGTTCTATTGTGCTCTGCTTCCTCCCACTGATTCTGCATGCTCATCCCCTTTAAATTTTCATGGAAGATATCCTCGTACTTTTTTAGTTGTCCACCCGGTTTCTTCTTAACGTCTACTAGCTCACCGTAAAGAAGAGATTTCGGTAGGCAGTTTTCTTGCATCCTGCATACGTACCCAGCCCACCTTAAGCGGGATTTAGTAATCACGACTTCAGCGCTCTCGCAGCTTGTTTTTTCAAGGACCGATACGTTTGATACATGGTGGTACTATTTAGTTCTTAACAGTTGTCTAAAGCAGCGTAGCGTATAAGGGAGAGGAGTGCGTACAGTATGATCGCCTCATGTGGGGCCACGCACTAAGAAGTAAAACAATACCATGGAATAGCGCCATCCATCCTCTATCCAACCATATACAGGGTGAGTCTTAAATAAGTGCAAATATTTTCGGGGCTGGTATAGATCTCGATAAATAAAACATATTTTTTCTTTGCCATTTTTCAGATAAGTCCAAAATAACCGAGTTATTTAAGTTTGAAAATTTAAAAAAAAATATTTTTTTGAAAAAATTTTGAGAGCCACCGGATTCTTTCTGTAATTGCACCCCTTTTAGTGCTGTAACCATAAGGTCTGTTCTCAGAAGAATCCCTGACTAGTCAGCACGTTTTTCATTGGTTAAAATGCGTAGAAACCTGATTGTTAGTCTGGTTTCTACACATTTCAACCAATAATAAACGCGCTGACTAGTCAGGGATTCTTCTGAGAACAGACCTATAGAGTAAAGCCGTAACCATGGTAATATCTGAGATTAAGAAATTATACCGTGGGAAAATTTGCGGTGAACAGGCAGTTCTAAAAAGTCTTCGAAAAATATACAGGGCAATTTAAAAGAAAATGCACGATTTCTAACATATTTTTTGCGAAAAAAACCTCATAGACGTGTTCCTGGGGTCTAAATATACCACCCCTAAAAATATTTGCATTTATTTAAAAAGCAAGATTTCAACACAAACTTCTTCCAAATACTTTAAGAATTATTAAAATAATTATATTATTATTATTAATATTGCTATTTTAATAAATAGTTATAAAATACATATTATATTTAAGGTCTTGATTTAAGTCAATATAATCTTATAAAATATGATCTAGGGTGTCTTTTTGAGATATTCTTGAATAAATCACCCTTCCCAAATCGACGCTTATGTTCGAATCTATGACAATTAAAAGTAAAAAAGTTATCTATTTTTTAATTATTTAATTTAACTCATACATTATTTAAATCAGTATTAGGCAACTTATATACAGATATAGATAAAGAAAAAAACGATAGAATAAAGTCATCTGTATCTATATTGTAGCCATTATACTAAACGATATAATTTCTAGGTTTACTAGTAAAAAAGTACAAATATAATTAATACTACTGTCAATTGATACTTTACCATATTTATATATACCGGGTGCGTCTCAAAAGTGGATCACCCCCTATAACTTTTTTATTTTTTCGGATAAAAAAACGAAATTTGATATGTTAGCATACGACATAAAATTAGGATTGATTGACATATTCAATTATTTTTTATCACTTCCTGTTTCACCCTGAAATGACTACAACTTTTGATTTTTTAATGGCACCTTCGATATATTTTTACTTTGTTTCATAGAAAATGATACTCTGAATTAAATCATATAGGGTGTTCAAAATTCTACGCCAAACTTTCTGAAATATAAAATGTTTTTTCTTTATTTTTTTAAACGGAACACCGTGTACAGTACGTCTGCTGGATCTGTGTCTATGAAAAGAATGCGGACAAAAAACATTTAAATAAACAGCAATATATTTTATACGTCGACTTGACGAGTACATCACCGCGAATCGCTCCGCCCACTCATTTTATTGGCTACTGGCAAATTTGTCGAGTTTTTATTGACGTATTTTTTACGAAAAACATCGAGAGAATATCGTTTCCCCTCTCACGGATACCCCGTAGCTACAGAACGGACAGACGTACTGTATATTATTTATTTATTAAATGGAGAGTTAAAAAATGTTTTTTAACTCTAAAAAATTTTGAAATACCCTAAAAAATTTTGAATAAAATCATTGGGTGGCTTTGATAAAAATTTACTGTAGAAAATGCAATATTAAATATAAAACAGCGAATATCTGCGAAACAGCTAAAAATGTTGAAATACTCTAAATACAAAAAATGTTTATTTTTTAATTCTCCATCTACTGAAAAAAAGAATATATAGGGTGTTCGATTAAAAAAAAACAAATGTTATTTTATATTCTAGAAAGCTTGGCGTAGAATTTTGAAGATCCTGTATGATTTACGATTACCATATTTATAGTAATGTACAGACCATCTAAAATAAATACCTAATATTATTTTGATTTCAGGACAGTTCTTGTATTTTTAATATTTTTTTTAAGAACGGCCGAAAAATAAATATTTTTTTCTTTATTTATTAATATCTCTGAAACTATCAAAACATATTTACTCATATCTTAAAATTGTATAAAGTGATATAAAAGGAAACCGAAAATGCAATAATATATAGGGTGTTCCATTAAAAAAAACATCCCGATCCTCTCACACTTTTTTGAGCCACCCTGTGGAAGTTAAAATATTTTCACTTTTTTTTTGGTTTGGACCCTGTATAAAAATAAATTCTATACTTTTAAAACCTCTTCAAACAATAAATTAACAACAGAAAACGCGCTAAAGTAAAATCAAAACGCAAAGAAACAAACCTTATAATATTTTCCTTTTTCTTGTTACGCAAAATATAAGCCACTTGAAGAAGCATCCGCCTCTTCAGATGAAGATATCCTGAATTATATAGACTAGCGAAAAATTACGAAGAACTCACTGGCACAATAAAACACCGATAACGACGTGAATTATATTAAAAGTACGCCGCCGGAATATGTCACGCAGGTAAAATAGACTGTAAAAGTAGGGGTACTACCGCGAGCTTTATGCAGAGGTACTGAATAGTGAATGAATCGCACTCCATAATATAATATGGCTTATATCGACCTAGCGCTGCACACTTGGAAAATTCGGCCTCCAAAACAATTTTGTGGATGAACTTGAAGGTTCCCAAGAAATCGTTAAAATGCAGCGGTCGTCTTTGCTCTTTACATGCCTTAAATATAAATACATGATCATAATATACCGATCACCTTCTTTTACAACAAAAACATATAATTGAAAGACCCATGGGAAAAACATGATAAGCGCCAATTTTTTAATTTTAGTTACTTTTTGACTATACATGTTCCTATACCTAACGTAAATTGTTTTTAATAGTTTTAAAGCTTATATTTTTTTTATTTTAACCAGTAGCCTATGATTTTAAACGTCAAGCGATGTAAAACAATAGATCTGGCCATGTCATTGTTACACACTTTGTTCAAAAAGCAAAAAGCAGTATTGTGTTATCGATCATCATTTCCAAGCCAACTTTACTCTGTTCTATTTCGATCATTACTAGTCTAAGAGTTATACTCTGTTTTTTTCTCAGGTAAGATTTCGACAGACGATGACAGAAGAAAAGCAGATGACGTCCCATACCAATCTATTTATTTTACTAAAAAAAGTTTCTAATAATTTTAAGTTAACTATGGATGGGTTTAAATATAAATTCGTCATGCGTCGTCTCTTGTTGTTTTTAACCAGTTTTATTGGTTTATTCTAAAAATGACAGATCGTATTTCAATTTTATTGGTTTGACGGAACGATGAACGACAAACGGACGCCGATGCGTATGACCTCGCCTCTAGATTTTTGACGCTTGTCAAAGTCTTGTCAAATTAAAGGTTATAATTTTGTGACAACTTCTGTCAAATACCCTGCGTTTTGGAAGATGATGCATTTTGATTCGTGTTATTACGTGTGTTTTCAGGGTTGCCAGACGTCCCGATTTAGGCGGGACTGTCCCGATTTTAATCGATGTGTCCCGATATGTCCCGCGGCCCGAGACTGTCCCGATTTGTCCCGCATCTCGTTCTCTGCTTTCAAATTCCCAAAATCTTCCTTCGCCACTATAGTAGGAGACAGGCGACAATGGCATCATGCGTAAACTCTGTTATCGCCTCGTGTCCGCCTCACCGTTTCAAGTATCGACGGTTTAAATACATGACATATCGATGCATCATTGCCATTCCTACTGATTCTTCTTTCTCTCTTCTTTTTTTTCACGGGATTTAGTCGCTTGTCGCTTACGTTTTTGTCGCAAAGTCTTTTGTCTTTTAATTTTAAAGACCTTGTTGTAGTGTACTTCTATTCTGTGGTGTACTTGTACTTTGGTGTTTGGTGTACTTCACAGAAGGTAGAAGGTGTACTTGCTCCTTGCTCCGTGTCCGTGGTCCGTGCAGTGAGTGCTTTACCCGACATCAAACGCGTTATGTTGAGTTAATTTGCTGCATATTACGTACATTTTAATATTATATATAATTATATAATTATAGGTTAATTCTTTTTTTTTGCAACAAAATGGATTCAGATTCCTCAGTGTCCTCTGATGAGATTGACTGGCTAGGGGTAAATTGTGGTGTTTTTGAAGATGAAGATGATGTGGTCAATGTCGTCAATGACGGAAATTCCCGAGTATTTGACAACGGTGTTAACGATGTTAAAAAAATCAAAAACTTTTCCCGGGAAAATACAGCGGCGGCTGCGTGTTCCATTTTGCAAAAAAAATAAAAGAAAAAGAGAGGTAGGTATATTAAACTATTTTCATATACAGAATAATCCACCAAAAGATACGAGGTTTGTTAAATTAGAAAAAGTTGCGCATTTTGTTAGCTCAATAAAGTTACGTTTACAGAGTTGCCAAAATTTCATTTGTTTCCAATATACAGGGAAATATGTACAAAATGTGTAACATTTACTTTATTAAAAAAAAAAATAACTCAAAACTATTAATAATTATAGAATCATAAGTTTTGTGCACAAATTTTATATTTTTTTCTTTTCTACAAAATATGCTACTTGGAAAATTCACCAAATGTATAGCTGTTCAGATATCGATACCAACTTATTTTATTTTTTTTAATACGGACTTTTTAAAATATATTTTACAGACGTCTGGTAACAAAATGGCCATCATCGGGGGTTTTCTTGAGTACGGACCTGAGAATAATCGGTAATGGTGGTTATCGTCAGCATTTATTATAATTTCTTAGCAATCATGTTAACTTTATATTATCCCTTTGTTGATAAAAACCAACTACCTACCTATGCTATCTTATTTTTAATAAAATATAAATAATGTTAATATGTTTATTATATTTTTCGTTTAGTGCTTGTGTATTTTCATTTTAAAAAACATTTTTTATACCACAATCCCTCAATAAATTATTATTTAAGATATTAAAATAAACATTTTTGGGCGTGGCACCCAAACATTTTCACCTCCGGCGGTCATTCAGTGCGTCCCGCTTTTTCTTCTTCTAAATATGGCAACCCTGTGTGTTTTGTGTCTTTTGAAGTCAAGTGGAGGAAAAATCGAGTGAAAATTAACTGTAGAACCCAGAACACAGTTTATGGTTAATACCCGCTGCCCAGGCAGAAAGTATTATACAGATACACCCATAGACTTAAAATAAAATATAGACTGAGCATCTCATTCATAAATAGCTGGAACATGCGGTCAGACACTGTCTTGTTATTGTTGTGTTATTGTTTTAGGTTATAACGAGTGCGACACGAGCGATAGATAGGTTGTCTCTGTCGTAACGGTCGTTCTCTGACGACTCTGCCGAGAAACACAACACTGTCTTTCGTTTCTCAAGTACACCTGAACTCTCCGTATCATAGCCGGGTAATTTTTTTATTTTAATGAAGCTATAATTAAATTAAAAATATATCGTATTTAAACTTTTTTATATTTTATTGAGATTTAGGACAGGTTTTTTAAATAAAAGTTTAGAAAAAACGTCTTAGAGTCCAAAAAGGATAAAAATAATAAAATACACGTTATAGAAGAAATTTTATAGTCGAAATTACGTAATTTTTGAAATTAATTAAAAATTATTAATTTTAGTCAAACATTTACAACCCCTAATATTAATCAAAACAGGATCTATTCCACAGATATAATAGAATCGGCGACAGGGAGAGAAAAAAAATATAATTGTTGTAATTTTTTTTCTGGTTAAGTGATGTCTTAGGTAAATTAGAGAAAACATAAATCTATTCCATTAAAGCAAGGAAGGTGATAGGAAGTGGATAAAATGAAAACTACATTTATTTAACTCGGTCTTTATTATACCGGGTGCGTCCCAAAAGTGGCTCATCCCCCATAATTTTTTTATGTTTTCAAATAAAAAAACAAGATTTGGTATGTTAGTACATGACATAAATTAGGATTGATTGACGCATTCAATTGTTTTTGGTCCTTCCTGTTTCACCGGAAATGACTATAACTTTTAATTTTTAAACGGCACCCTTGGTATATTTCTACTTTATTCGATAGAAAATGACACTCTGAATAGAATGACATATCATATGTCAACTTTTGACATTTTCGCATGTGGTTTAATTGTAATTGTAACACGGGGTTCATAACGACAATTTGACTCGAAATACCAAAAGTGTGGTATCAATATATTCATAAAAAATGTTTTTTTCCAAATATGCTAATGAGTCACCCTTGTTCCATTTGAAAAAATTGACATATGTATGATTAAAAATACGATTTGTACATCTTTTAACCGGCCTAGACAAGACACGAAACCCATTAGACGATCAAAACTATTTTTCCAAGGCTCCTTGATTAAAATTAGTGTTTTTAATAACATCATCGCACCCTGGATTGAAATTTAAAATACGATTTGTTTTTAAGCGACAAAGTTGACATATGATATGTCATTCTATTCAGAGTGTTATTTTTTATCGATACTTACTTACTCGATGGTGCCTTTAAAAATCAAAAGATGTAATCATTTCGGTGAAACAGCAAGAGACCAAAAACAATTGAATACGTCAATAAATTCTAATTTATGTCATATACCTACTAACATACAAATCTGTTTTTTTTTATCTGAAAAAATAAAAAAGTTATAGGGGTGAGCCACTTTTGAGACGACCCGGTATATTAAAAAATATTGTTTCATAATGTAATATCATTTTAAAATTCTTGTATGTTATTTTAGATTCTGAAGACAATTTTAGAATAAACCGGAATATATTTTTAATAAAAACATTATTAATTATTAACAGGGTTATAATTATGATTTTGTTACAATGTAAGTAAGTAAATAATGTAATGTAAGAGAAAAAATTCAGATTTTACATTTTACTAAAATATTATCTAAATAAGCGCCTTTCTACAACAACGCCACTTACTCCTAATGGGTATATTGAGAGTTGCCTACCGGTCGAAAGTTGTTTCAAGACTTAAATGGATTATTTAAGTCAAATTTCTTGCAAATTTGGCACTGACGAACCATATTTTATAGTTCTTGAACAGAAAAAGTCAATAAAATAAACAATTAAAGACTACAAGCTAAGAAAATGCGTTAATACAGCCGGGGATATAGCGGCAACAAAGCTTTACCGCACACGTGCGACGCGTACTACAAGGTAATAAATGAATGAATAGGCTCCCTCGCTTCTAATCGGTGTTGTCATATTGTAAAGAACTTATCCTTTTTAAACAGTATCCGACTTATAATTTAGTAGTATAAGGACTATTTAATACATCTCTGGAATATTAAAACCTACTTTATTAAACTGTAGTATTAATATCTCAATATATGTGTATAACAAGAAAAAAAATATTGATAATATTAAAGACGTGACAACATAGGCTGGATGAGGAAGGCTCGGTCGACTGTACCCAGAAGTAAACATGTGTACAAAAAATATTGTCTGTCCGCGTTGAGATGTAAATAGTGTAGTCTATATTTTATTTTAAGTCTATGGATACACCAATAAAGTTACTATCAATAAAGTTCGTATACCATCTCGTCGTAGATAAGTGCATCTGGAATATGGTAGAAGGACCATACTAAACACATACTAAAAACTGGAGTAGCTGTAAAATATCGACATCACACGATAGGTAAATAATGGATTTTAGTACTGCAGAAAAATAATGTCAAAAGGTACTGGTTTAAAAAAATTAAGATTAAAGTTAATTAATCAACTTGTGAGGTATAAAATTTGGTAAGTGTTATTATTAATAAAATAGTTTGTTTTATTTATGTTGTTTTATTTATTCCTGCGTAATATTACAAATTTGTATTTGTACATAAGTTATATTGATAAATATAATCATAAATGCGGGAAGTTTCATAAAGCTTGAAAGTAAGAAATAGTTTTTTTTATATTTTTTGGTATGTGGTGTCTTGTTTTTGTTTGTTTTGTATTAACACATACCGTTTTTTATTAAATATAATAAATCGATTACATTTTTTCAGTTGTATCCTGTATATGAATTATATAAACAAGGGTTGTATACAGTTTTTTTCACAATATTTTGAAGTTACTTAGTCAAATTTTAAATACATATATTAATTTCCTGCTATGTGTTCCAGTTGTACCAACTTATTTCTTTGTAAAATAAAATAAACTACTTTGAAATTAAAATGACAGACACATCTATCAATGTCAAGGATCTTCTCGTTGGACAGACTATAGCAACGTTTTCGAGAAAGTATTTTAAGACGTCTGGCTCTGATATATCTTTTAATATGCTCTCTGGAACAGCAGCCGTCTAGCTGCCGATACCCGTTGCGTTCACTACTGCGCATCGGAAGAAGATCCTATATTTTTTTTTTAATTTAGTCCTATAAGTTCTAGTATTGAATATAAACCGAACATGTCTTACGCGCAGTACGTAGAGTTTCCGACCACGAACCGATGATTCAGAGTTCGAATCTGGGTCAGGTCAAAAGGCTTTTTTTTTATTTTCATTTATATTCTGATAGTAAAGTAGTAAATAATTCTGGTAATTAAATAAAAACAAATATTTAATACTTTACTATCAGAATATAAACGAAAATAAAATAAAAAAAGTCTTTGCCTCGACCCGGATTCGAACTCTGAATCATCGGTTCGTGGTCGGAACCTCTACACACTGAGCTATGGAGACATGTTCGATTTATATTCAATACTAGAATTTAAAGGACTAATAAAAATATAGGATCTATAACGCAACGTTTACCGGCAGCCAGACGGGCCGCATGCTGTTCTAAAGAGCATAGTAAAAGATATATCAAAGAGCCAGACGTCTTAAATAAAAATACCTACTTGTTTTTCCGACGTTGCGTTGCTAGCTCTCGTATGGGAACTGGTTTCATCAAGAAGTAACGAATTGGAAAACTTTTTCACTATTGAAATAAAAAAAGTCGAAAAAAACCATTTATGATAATTGTTTAATCGCTCAATTTCATGACAGCTACCGCCATTATTATATATGACATTTGAACAATTTAATTTTTGAAATATATAGCCACATGTCTTCTCTTTATGCCACAGTGGCTTTGGTAATCACTAAATTTGACTTTTAAGCTATACAATTTTTTTTGACAGGTAGTTTTTTTCCTCCAAAAATTTTAAATATTTTCTTTCTCAAAAACGGTTAATGTTAGGTATAGAGTGTTTAATATCAAAATTCATAAAGTTTTACAGAGAATTTAAGCAGAGAAGAACAATCGTAGAGAAGCGACAAAAACCGTCGGCACTATTGAAGTGAGGGGTACCAAGTTTTGTGACCTTCAAATTGGCGTACGTGAGAGATCGCCAGTTTATAGCTACACTGAGAGAAATTCAATGAACGCAAAAGAAACGAGAAAAGCTATAGAAAAAACATGCGTTCAGTAAAAAGTATATTATAAATATTTAGGAATCATATTGAATTTACCGCGTTCTAACCATTTTCTAACCTATTCCTTTTAGAGGGATATTTTCAAATCGTATCTGATAATATTGTTTGTTTCGAAATTAATATTTGAAAGTGTTCTATTAAGAAAATTTGTAATATTTATCAACTGTTATCAAAGAGTTAAAACAAACCAATAAGTAAATAACATAATTAGAGTTGAGTGTTGGAACCGGGGTGTTACAACAGCAAAATAAAACACTAATTTACCACAATACACCAAAACACTTTACTTCTGCAGTACATCAACAGATGATTAAAACTAAGATCATAAAAAACATATCTCTATACTATGAGAACATAGATGGTAGATTAAATTTACAAGAAAGAAAACTCAGAAAATATTCAGCGGTTCTGAAAATGTAAGCATTTTTTTTTTAATTTTCAAAGAATCTAGGTTATTCTAGACTTATTTGAAAAATGGTAAAGAGAAAATATGCTTCATTTATCCAGATCTACCGGTCCTGAAAATATTTGCACTTATTTAAGACTCACCCTGTATATTAAAAAATCATATTTTGCATTAAAAACCATATTACATTTAAAGATAACACAACTCAAATTAGCGTCGCTAATATATTAATATTTGCGATAAATTATTTAATTTTCTAATACATAGTTTTAATTTTTGAATTTATTTCTAATTATTTTTTATTAAACGCTAACAACCTGCATCTATTTTAAGTTTTAATAATATTTAGTTCTGAAAATTAGTTCTTTCTTTAAGTACTATTATAAGGTAAGGATAAAATATAGATTAATTAATTCAAAAAGATTAATTATGTACACAATTAAAAAAATAGTAAGATTTCAGGACTTTATCTTAACAATGGCAATGCTGGCTGTATTCCGAAAACACGTTGAGGTTGAGATGACATTTAGCCGGTTTACCTCCTGGCTCCCACTCCAAATTTTTAGGCGGGATTCGTTTTGTCGCTTCTCTACGATTGTTCTACAGGATTGTTCTTCTCTGATTTAAGTATGTAATAAAGGTACACAGGTATATAATAGGTACACCCATTTAAAACAAGAAAGTTGCTGTCAACTTCCGGTATTTCCGGAAGTGCCGCCATATTGAAAATATTTTTAATCGATAGATCTTATTGGGAAACAATGATGATGTGCCAAAAATCTCCGACCTAAATATTGTAGTTCTCAATAGGTAGGTACTTATGTTTAATTATTAATACATCACGTTTAATGCATTACATTTAATACATCACACTTTTTTAAATATTTATCTCTATAAAGGGGCGTCCATACCGGATGAGCGAGCAGGAGCGAGCAAGAATTCGGGTATATTCTATGGGAACGCTTAACTGGTGTGGACGGCTCTGCGAGCGAGCGAGTGATTGCTTGCTCGCGCTCGACGCTGTTCCACGCCGTGTCGGTACATCAAAGAAAATTCGCGCTATTGCACGTTCGGTTTGGACGGGATTTTGTTTACCATGTTTGCGATCGAATATCAAAAATGGAATGGCCGAATGAAGTTGTTTTAGAACTAATAGAGGAGTACAAAAATCGCCAAGACCCGTAAGGTTATAGCGAGCCTTTCTCTAGGTGAAATTGCTTTTCGGTAATTGGTATCACTTTTCATTATTTTTATGTCAATTAAATCTAATAAGGTATTAAAATCTGTAAGTGACATCCGACAAAAGTTCTTAAATTTTCCAGACTCTTCTGTTTCAACATCGTTTAGTAAATTGTTACCGCCATGAGAAACGCAATTTTTAAAAAGAGTTATGTTCCACCATCTCCTCTGCAGTCGTTTTCTCTTTTGACGTTTCAACAATTTATAAAATACAATGAAAGACGCACAAGCAATGCTTTTTTCCGACATTATGAACATGAAGTGCCACACACCGATCAACGCCGAACATACAAATAATCGCTAGGTCTGGACGGAAGCTGATCATGTGTTCGAGAGCAGCAGAAATCACGAGCGAATTTGAATAAATGTTTGCTCGCGCTCGTTACTGCTCGCTCATCAGGTCTGGACGCCCCTTAATATTTCGTATTTTTTATTTGACCAATTTAAAAGAACATATTATATGGTTCATCTAAATTTTTGAAATTGTCATCGATTATGGGGGACACTCATATATTCCACACAAATTAGGTAGTTTTGCTTATAATAAAAAAAAAACATTGAAAAACTGCTTAAAATGAGTTTTAATCAGTGTTAGAAAAATACATTGTCACGCTAAACGACATCTGTAAACAGCGGCCAAGCTTTTATTGATGCAGGTGATGCGTCGCATCCCGTCAAAATATTGTAATACGTTTTTATTTAAAAAAGGCACTGAGATCTCCTAGGTATAATAAATTAAAATTCTCAGTAAATTTATTTAAATAACGCGCTAAGACCTTTACGCCAGAGACCTACGCTAAAAATGATAGTCATTTGCTTCTTTAATAATAGATGGCAGCATAGAAATTTTTGACATATGACATGTCTATTCTGTTTGACAGTGACAGTGACAGATCTAAAGTGTTTGTGGAAGAAATTTTTTGGAGATTTTTTTTTAAGTATCTATATAGAGTAATTCTATACTTTTCTTAAATAATTTTAGTTACAAAATTGTTCTCAGTTCTTTTGAAGAATTAATAATCGAATTGAATATGATTTAAAATAAGATTTTAAGCATTATTAGTGGTGTATAGGTTATGTTTTTCTCTAGCGTAAATAGAAATAAATAATAAGAAAAAAGATTTATTAATATGATAAGGAGAGGTGGTATTAATTTAAATACAATTATAGTTAATCATGTTGCCAGGAAAAGGTACAGCCAATTAGGTAGACAAATTTTATACGTTAAATTATTTTTACTTACGATAATATTTAAATATTTTAGGAGTACGTTTTCGTCATTTATCTACCTTCGATTCTACAAAATATGAAAAATTAATTTCCAAAATACAGCATACTTTACGGAAATCATTTCACAAAAGCTATTTAAACTTGAAGGATGATAAATTACCACCTCCTGTTATACCAAAAACAACAGTTGATAAAAAGGAAGAAGGAAAAACTATTAAGGAACAGCCAATTCTTCAAGTTATCGCCCCGAATTTAAAACTAGAAGATGAAAGGGAAATTCCTGAGAAAACAATCAAAGAGAAGAGCTTGAACGATATAAAACCTGAAAAACAAAGAATTACTACCAAAATAAAGGAAAAACTTATCGGAACAGTTACAGAAAGGAAAGAAGAGGCTAAAGATCAATCATGTACGGTTTGTTGTATTATTATTTAGAAAATTAAGTTTCAAACTGTGCTTTGTAGCTAAACCTCAGCAGAAGAAACGAATGAGATTGGATCTTTCAGCACAGTCGTTAGAACGAAACTTTATTACACCTGTAAAAGCAATGTCGGACTTTTTGCTGAAACCTTCAGATTTAGAGTCTTTACCAAAGACCAAACGAAGATCGCCCTATGAGTCAGAACCTCCAATTACAGTCTATTGGAGAAAAGATGTTGAAGCAAAAGCTTTGGAAGTATGGGGTTCCAAAGAAAAACTACAGAAGGAATTGATTAAGAGGGATATTGAAAAGAAAAAATATCAGCAAAGTTAGTTTATTGCTTCCCACATTACTTTTTCTAGTTTAACAAAATAAAGTCCATTTATATTAATCCATTTAACCCAGGGTTGGGTGCTTGTCGGATATAACAATTTTTGCACTTTTGGCCCACACTTTGGCACAACTTTGGCACTTATTTTTATATCAGTCGAAAGCATACACTTATATAAGAATAAATAAGAAAAATGAAATAATAATACTTAATGTAATGTGAGAAAAACTATATTAGAATTTATTTATTGTGGTGGAATTTATTTATTGGTGAATTATGTACATCTTCCAGATATTTTTACTGTCAAAAGAAGGCTTCGAGACTTTAGGAGGGAACTGGGAAAATCAGCAAATGTCATAGAAACTGAATCCGGTTTGATGGGTAGGTCTGGTAGAGTAGTACTTACGGCAGTAGCTATGTAAGTTTAACTATTTCATCTTGGGAGCTTGTTATCTTTAAGTTTGTTTTAGCAATGGCACTAACTGCCTGTTTAAATTTTTTGCCTGGCTTTATACAGGATCTCATAGTATGTTCTCAGAATGCATACATTCCTTGGCCGACACAATAAATCAGTTGATTTTGGCTTATGGTATTCACAAGTCCGTTCAGGTAAATAATATTAGTGTTTATATAATGTTTATTTATGGATTATTAAAAGATATTCAGGGTATAACTCTTATAGGGAACAATGAAAGTGTAGATAAATTAAGACAAAAACATTCAGAAGGTGCTTTTCAAAATAATTATTTCTTTATATTTTTTTTATTTAACTTTTGTATACAAATTTACAGGGTTGGCAAAAATCCATGATTTTAAAAAAAATCAGATTTTTTATTTAAATTAGGATTTTTATTTAAATCAGATTTTTTTTTTGTTTAAATCAAATTTTTTATTTAAATTAACTTTTATTATTTAAATAAGATTTTTTCTTTTATTGATTTTTTTTTATTTAATTCAGATTTTTTTATTTATCTTATTAATCAGATTAAAAAAGACAAAAACATAAAATAAATTAAGACAAAAACATTCAGAAGGTGATGCTTTTCAAAATAATGATTTTTTTTAAGTTTTTTTATTTAACTTTTGTATACAAATTTACAGGGTTGGTAAAAATCCATGATTTTAAAAAAAATAAGATTTTTTATTTAAATTAGGATTTTTATTTAAATCAGATTTTTTTTTTGTTTAAATCAAATTTTTTATTTAAATTAACTTTTATTATTTAAATAAGATTTTTTCTTTTATTGATTTTTTTTATTTAATTCAGATTTTTTTATTTATCTTATTAATCAGATTAAAAAAGACAAAAACATAAAATAAATTAAGACAAAAACATTCAGAAGGTGATGCTTTTCAAAATAATGATTTTTTTTAAGTTTTTTTATTTAACTTTTGTATACAAATTTACAAGGTTACAAATCAGATTTTTTATTTAAATCGGGATTTTTATTTAAATCAGATTTTTTTTATTTAAGACATATTATTTGTTATTTAAATCAGATTTTTTTTATTTAAATCATATTTTTTTTTGTTTAAATCAGATTTTTTATTTAAATTAACTTTTATTATTTAAATAAGATTTTTTCTTTTATTGATTTTTTTTTATTTAATTCAGATTTTTTTATTTATCTTATTAATCAGATTAAAAAAGACAAAAACATAAAATAAATTAAGACAAAAACATTCAGAAGGTGATGCTTTTCAAAATAATGATTTTTTTTTAGTTTTTTTATTTAACTTTTGTATACAAATTTACAAGGTTACAAATCAGATTTTTTATTTAAATCAGATTTTTTTTATTTAAGACATATTTGTTATTTAAATCAGATTTTTTTTATTTAAATCATATTTTTTTTGTTTAAATCAGATTTTTTATTTAAATTAACTTTTATTATTTAAACAAGATTTTTTCTTTAAATGATTTTTTTTTATTTAATTCAGATTTTTTTATTTATCTTATTAATCAGATTAAAAAAGACAAAAACATATAACATAAATTAAGACAAAAACATTCAGAAGGTGATGCTTTTCAAAATAATGATTTTTTTATAGTTTTTTTATTTAACTTTTGTATACAAATTTACAAGGTTACAAATCAGATTTTTTATTTAAATCGGGATTTTTATTTAAATCAGATTTTTTTTATTTAAGACATATTATGTTATTTAAATCATATTATTTTTATTTAAATCAGATTTTTTTTGTTTAAATCAGATTTTTTATTTAAATTAACTTTTATTATTTAAATAATTTTTTTTCTTTAAATGATTTTTTTTATTTAATTCAGATTTTTTTATTTATCTTATTAATCAGATTAAAAAAGACAAAAACATATAACATAAATTAAGACAAAAACATTCAGAAGGTGATGCTTTTCAAAATAATGATTTTTTATAGTTTTTTTATTTAACTTTTGTATACAAATTTACAAGGTTACAAATCAGATTTTTTATTTATTTAAGACATATTATTTGTTATTTAAATCAGATTTTTTTTTGTTTAAATCAGATTTTTTTATTTAAATTAACTTTTATTATTTAAATAAATTTTTTTCTTTAAATGATTTTTTTTATTTAATTCAGATTTTTTTATTTATCTTATTAATCAGATTAAAAAAGACAAAAACATATAACATAAATTAAGACAAAAACATTCAGAAGGTGATGCTTTTCAAAACAATGATTTTTTTATAGTTTTTTTATTTAACTTTTGTATACAAATTTACAAGGTTACAAATCAGATTTTTTATATAAATCGGGATTTTTATTTAAATCAGATTTTTTTTTTATTTAAGACATATTATTTGTTATTTAAATCAGATTTTTTTTTGTTTAAATCAGATTTTTTTATTTAAATTAACTTTTATTATTTAAATAAATTTTTTTCTTTAAATGATTTTTTTTATTTAATTCAGATTTTTTTATTTATTTTATTAATCAGATTAAAAAAGACAAAAACATTCAGAAGGTGATGCTTTTCAAAATAATGATTTTTTTATAGTTTTTTTATTTAACTTTTTTATACAAATTTACAAGGTGAAAAATTACAAATTTACATAATCTCATTAGTAGATTTTTTATTGATTTTTTTTTTTATTTAATTCATATTTTTTAGTTAAATGATTTTTTTTATTTAATTTAGATTTTTTTTTATTTATCTTATTAATCAGATTAAAAAAGACAAAAACATATAATATAAATTAAGACAAAAACATTCAGAAGGTGATTAGAATTAGAATAAGTGGGAGGGGGTTAATCTCTGCGACCTTAGAGATCTATTGTGTCCCCCTTTCTTGAGTTATAACTCATCATACAGTCCCAGGACTTCCTACGGAGACCCGTGTCCCTCACAGTCGAGGAGCTACGACCCAGGCCGGGTAGACGAAACGGTAGCTTGTGTCGCCTGTTGGGTTTAGAGGTAGGAGGTAGGCTCCCGACCCTTGGAGGAGGTGATAGCTTGTATGCCACTTGCGGAGGATGGTCTCACGCAAGTGTCAGCCACCTCTCCTGTAGTTCTCTTTGGGTTTGGCCCCTTGGGACTTTCATTGTTACTGTTCCCAGTGTCGCTAGGGGTTTCCCCACAGCTTCACCGGTGATGTTTTTATTACTATTATTACCAGATCTCATAGTGTTCCTATGAGTCGCTAGGGACAGTCGGTCCACTTCTACAGAGCCCCGCATGTAGAAGTAAGGGGTAAATACAATGGGGTGCCCCCCGGTGCCCCAAGGTTGAGGCTGTCCGTAGCCCCGCCCGGTATCGTTATATGTCTTGGTGCAATTCCCTGGCCACGACACTACAGTCAGGGACAAGACGATGAGTGAGATGCTTCTTAGGCCAAGCCAAGTGCTAGAGGGGATTCCCCCCAGCACCTGACCAGGAGATTCCCCACCAACGACAAGGTCTTGCATCTCCTAGGGGAAGCTCAGAAGGTGATACTTTTCAAAATAATTATTGTTATATATTTTTTTTATTTAACTTTGGTATACAAATTTACAAGGTTGGCAAAAATCATGATTTTTTAAAAAAAATCAGATTTTTTATTTAAATCAGGATTTTTATTTAATTTTTTTTATTTAAGTCATATTATTTTTTAGTTAAATCAGATTTTTTTATTTGAATCAGTTTTTTATTTAAATGAACTTTTATTATTTAAATCAGATTTTTTTTATTTAAAAATAAATCCCTGCCATTTAAAGGTCTAATGGACTCACACGAAATTACTTCAAAAATCGGTCCAATATTTTATACAAATCATTTTTTATATAGTTTTATAACATTTACAATTATTTTTCGATTTATTAAAAGTATTTAAACCAGGGTTGGCATGATATACATATATCAATGATATATATCGGATATACATATATGTATATATCCGATATTTGATATTTATATAAATATCATGATATTTGCCAACCCTGATTTAAAGTTACAATAGCAAGAGGGACATTTTATTTATTGATTAGATATAGAGTTATTTGTTAGTTATCTGTTATGAAACCTGAAATATAATTATAGTAATTTTCTAGGACACATTTTTATAACTTTTACTGTTATTTTTCGATTTATTATAAACTTCTAAAAAAGTTACTTTTTTATTTGAATCGCATGATTAAAATAAAAAAAATTGGCGCCGGGAGACACGTATAGCCGCCCATACTAAAATATGTTAATAAAAAGTTGGTAGGCAGTTCTTTTAGTTTCAAAGTAAAGGAATTATATCAAAAACTGTGACCTGTGACTGACTGATTTTGATGTTATTACAAATTTTTTTGCAAATATTATTCCTAATCTTAAATTGAAAACCGCGTTTCGCTAGCTACTGTAATTTTGGAGTTACGTTTTTTTTAAACTTTTAACCCCTTCCTATACCCTCTTACCATCCCCCCACCCTCACCAAAAACTAATGGCCAGATTCTCGGGTGCCACAGTATTTTTGTGCCAAATTTGGTTAAAATCGGTTTAGCGGTTTTTCAGTTATCGTGTTACAGACGGACAGACAGACAGACACCATGAAAATATTTTGTATTTAGGTTATTTATGACCCAAATAACTCATTTGGAGTGAAATTAAAAAAACTTTTTTTGCCGATATTAATAGCCTACCTCAGAGAATAGGTACATTAAAGAAATGCTAACTTCATGTTAAAAAATGGAAACAGACGCCATCTGGTGTCGCGTGGCAGTACTAGCTAAATTGAGGGGAATTGGAGGGGCGGGGCTTAAAAAAGGGGAAATTTTTAAAAAAATATTTTTATAAGTATCACTGACTTACTATTTAAAGTTAATAAACATATTTTTTATTACTTTAATATAATTTAATGTATTAAAAAATATGTCTATTAACTTTACACAGCAAATCAATGATATTATTAAAGACTTATTATTTTCAGAGAAAATTCATAGTAAATAAATTACACATTATTATAGTAAACAATATCATTTATTTGTTAGAGCTGCGATTTATATTACAATAATATTGAAATATATATATATTTTTTTAACAATGAAAGATGATCAATTAATGACTTAAATTAGTTCAAAATACATTTTGCAAATAACTAGTGAATTGGAAAGATAAACATACTATTAAAAAGACATTTTAGTAGTATGTTATCATCTATTTACTGATAATACATTACATAAGTATATAATAGGTAAATAACATGCATAAGGCACTATGATACAACTACCTGTATCATGATAACACACTAATATCACAAAAAATATATGCTAATTTAAATTCCTTTAATGATCTAATGAAACACTATCTAGCCTCAATGCATGCCATTCCCAAACCAAAAACTGTTATACCAAATAAATATAAGCTGAATAAAACATAAACCAAGCCAACGTGCATAAACAACCAAAAAATGCATCAAAAAATACTTTTATCAGATCATACATTTGGATATATTATGTATTTTATATATCGCACATCCCGTTCAAAAGTTTACTAACTCAAAATAGAGAATATAGAGAACATTGTCAGGAGAAGTAAAAGAAAATTTAAGTTAACGCAATATGCTCCTTTTTGCATATTAATGGCTAAATAATATAATGTTGATTTAATAAAATTTTACTGGCATCCTTCTGAGGTATAAATCAGATTAAAAGGACATTGTTTTTGTAATAATTGTTTGTTTTGTAAACATTTTTTGAAGACAATACAGTTTTGAACGGGCTGTGCGATATAAACAAGGATCTTGCTATTATTTGAGGTTAGAAAGTATTTAAATAATATAAAACATAATCAAAATCATTTTTCATCATAAATTATAGAGATACTTACGTGTTTTGATATTATTATCAGGAAATAATACGTTTAGTTAAACAGGTACGCTGCCAGGCAAGTTCTATCGGCGGGTCTTTGCAAAAGTTGAAATCTAAAAATACAAAAATACGTTTACATCTTAGTTGTATTTACGAATAAAGTATTTGTGTGTAATTTCTGACTTACCAGTTAACTGAATAATCGCATTAAATACATCCAAATGGTAATTTAATATTGTAAAAAAGCAAAATTGTTTTAAATCACTTGCCAGGACAGTCCGGCCAGCTTCTTTGTTGGCAAAATGGCCGCGGTATCATGATTTAAGCAATGTGCGTAACAAAGAAAGCCAATGCCTGGCAGATGTTGCTTTCTTTGTCGTTGGTCCTGGCACGTTTAAATTTGACTGTTGCCTGTTTTCCCATACAAGTGACACCCCCGTGGCCTACCTATTGGTATGGTCGGCTAAACATCACTTGATTTAAATCATGTCAATCCTACAAATTTATCTGATTTCATATCATCAAATAATTTATATTTACATGTTTGTAAAGGACTTTTTGATAATTGGTTATACTGTGTTTTAGATTGCAGATTCCTATCATCCATATGGCTACAGTAACATGAAGTATGTAGCATCTCTTATATCTGGCGTGGGGATCTTCTGTGTAGGCACAGGTTTATCTGTATATCATGGAATATCTGGATTGTTACATCCAGCACCAATAGAAGATTTTTTCTGGGTAGGTTTTTGTCAAGGGTTAAAAAAATAAATAATACAGTGGTGTTTTGCAGGCTTATTGTATATTAGGTGGCTCCCTCGTGTCAGAAGGCGCTACATGGCTGGTTGCTTTCAATTCCATACGGAAGGGCGCAAGGGATATAAATATGTCTGTTAAAGATTATAGTAAGTAATTTAAGCAAATTCACAATTTATTATAAGCGATACCAATCATACTTTTAGTTACGTAATCGAGGGCGCGATTTTTAGGGTTCCGTACCCAAAGGGTAAAAACGGGAACCATATTACTTTAGGGATGACGTGGTCGTATTGACACCACTTTAGGGATAAAGTGGCGGTAGTATTGAAATGCGGCGCGTATTCTAACAACTTTTATTTAACATTAATATAAATTGGACCGAAATTTAACAGAAACGAAGGAGCACAATCTGACTAGCGTGCGGCCATCTTGACTGACTGACTGAGACTGACTTCAGTGGCCTCGTTGACCGATGACAGCGCGGACCATGATACAAAGAATACAAGGTATGATATTGCGCAGGTTGGTCACTACGTCACAGGTGATAAACGGCTCCATTGGTCGGCAAGCTCTGCGCGCCAATTTCGAATTGTCTAACAGATTTTGTCATCTGTGAAATTTGATTGTGTCAAAATGTGAAAATAATTTTTCAAATGTTAAGCTCGATGATTTGACATAACTTTTGGGGTTATGTCCTAATTCTTCCCTATTTTAGGTCTTTTTTTATTAGTGACATTTGAACAATATGGATATTTTTTTGTATGGCGTATGTCGTCACAGGTGATATGCGCAAACTTAACGAAATTGGAGCCGCTATCGATCATACCTTGTTTTCTTTGTACCATGAGCGCGGACTGTCACTCGGTTCTTCTTTTCTCTGTGGACTTGGCCTTCATGACCGGCAAGAGAAAACTTCTCGAGGCTGGAGTAGCTGTTTACGCCGTCGAACCTCCGGGCCTGATACCGTTGGAGGCGGCAATGGCGTAGGCGCCACATTACTAAGACTTCGTTGTCCGTCCGTCTGTCACAAAGGTCTATCTTCTGAACCGTTATTGCTAGACAGTTGAAATTTTCACAGATAATGTATCTATGTTGCCGCTAATATAAGAACAAATACTAAAAACAGAATTAAATAAATGTTTATAAATAAAAAAGTGCTTTCACTAAACATTATCTTTTAAGTAAGAATTTTACATAGAATCTTTTAAGTCCTCGGTGGCCGCGTGGTTAAAGCGTTAGGACTTTACGCTGCTATGACGTTGGATCCGTAGTAAGGCAGGTTCGAATCCTACTCAAGGCGACTTTTTTTAATCGTTTTTTTTTATTTTTACATATTTTTACTTTTTACATATTTATTATTGATTAATACAATTTTTAGTAATGTGTTTCTTCATTTTTTTTAAATTACTTATACGCCCATTCAAAATTTCAGCTAAATCGGAAAAAAAATTATAATAATATAGTGTCTAATGTTGTATAGATAATGAATGGTACGGAACGCTTCGTGCTTGAGTGCGACTCGCACTTGACCAATTTTTAAATTCATTGTTGCCTTTGAATAAGAAGACTAAGGAAGGAGCATATCAAAAATCTTAGGTACACCGCGATGGGCCTCAAATATGGTCGACTTAAATTCCGGTTTATCAGTGTCGTTCTAATTTTATTTAAAAAATGTAAAACTATGATGTAGGGTAGACGTGGGGTAGACTCAATAATTTGTTGTTTTATTTTACGTTGTGAATAAATGTTGGTAGTTATTAAAATTGTTATTAGTTAGTAGTTATTAAAAATATATAACTCTAATAAAAATAGATAAGTTATAATAAGTATTTATTACCACAAACATCCGATACGCTACTGAAGCAGGTAAGTCAAGTTAACGTATCTAAATTCTTTGACATCTGATCTTTGACAAGTAATAAATAAAAGCTAAAATGCAAGAAAAATATATAATTTAGTTAATTTAAGTGAATTTCATAAATGATCGGTTTACTACACGTATGTATATTATATAGCCACTTACTAGCGAAAAGTTGTTCCATTATTTCACTCAATTTTTGCCGAGATCTACCGCACGCTACACAACCAACTATTTTAGAGTCTTTTTCGATAAATCGCGATAGTGTCACTGTTAATTTAAGTTCTGCCACAATTTCTATCTAGATTTACTACCTCTATACAACTATCAGTAGTAGAATAAATAATAAATAACATAAAATAAGCTCCGTAAAAACTGACAAATCCACAAAATTTCAAATCAAATTCAAATGTGTCAAATGAATCGTCAAACAGAACTGTCAAGGATCCCCACCCTAGAGAGCTTTTATGGTGGCTTTTCCGCCCACCATGCATGAATACATGGATAGCATTATGCTCCTTCCTTAGTCTTCTTATTTCAAAAACCAAAGTCTTCTTAGTCTTCTTATTCCAAACCATCAAAAACAAAATATGATATCAAACCAAACCAAACCAAACTATGGAGATATTCAGCGCCGGGCTGGCTAACTGCAATTTAAATTTCGTGCTGGGGATTCAGGTAGTAGCTCTGCAGTAAAAAAATTCAAGTTGCCTCATTTATTTATTTTCTGAACCTTGACATTTTACTTTCGTATTATCAGTTTTTGGTTTAAATGAATTGTGTTGTGATACTTTAAGCTTTTAAAAAAAAATACTAGCAGACTTTGTAGTCGAACATCGTTCTTCTTAAGCCGCGTCCAAGCTACTCGAACAAAACGTTCGCGAACATATAATTCACATTATATACTCGTAGCAGCAGGTCATAAACGACGCCACAGCCCATCGCATCGGTCCGGAGGACTGAGGTGTGGGGAAGAATGCGATGACCAGTTTGCTCTATAGATCTAGGATGCGTTTAGGTAGTCGCTGTTTTTTCAAGTGCCCGGATTTCGAGTGCAAGCATTTTATTAAGTAAATTAACCGGTTTGTCGTTGAAGAATCAATATTTAGCAGGCGGAGGGTCACAGGGGTCTTTTGGTAGATTATTCGTTATAGTGTATTTTTAAAACCTGCATTTATTTTCAGCCGATTCTACCAGGTGTTTCTCAAAAGGGACTCACTTTTTTACTTTTTCATTTTTTTAGATAATACAACGAAATTTGGTTTGTTAGTATATGACATAAATCGGGATTGATTGACGTATTCTCCTTCGGTATTCTTCTTCCTTTGGTCTCTTCCTGTTTCACCGGAAATGACTGCAACTTTGTATTTTTAGATTGTATCCTTTTACTTTATTTGATAGAAAATGACATTCTGAATAGAATGACATACCATACGTCAATTTTAGACAATTCCAATTAAATAAAAATAGCATTTTAAATTTCAATCTAGAGTGAGTTAAAACTATTAATTTGAAAATGTCAAAAGTTGACAGATAATATATCATTCTAGTTAGAATGTCATTTTCTATCACCATATAAATGTATAAAAGCAAACAAAAGATATACAATAAAAGACAGATACAAAATTAATTAACAAATAAACATACTAACAAGTTAAAAATTACCTTTTTTCAAACTAGCTGTTTGTTTGACTTACCAATATTTATGCAATTTATTTTAAATATATGTAAGTCAAACGAACAGCTGGTTTGAAAAAGGTAATTTTTATTTTGTTAGTGTGTTTATTTGTTAATTAATTTTGTATCTGTGTTTTATTGTATATCTTTTATTTGCTTTTATACATTTATATGACTTTTATTATGTATATCTAATTTTAAGGTCGGATGATGGCTGGAATTGCCGAAACCGGTCACGAATAAAGAATTTTTTGATAGTGGTTTGGACTTTGTTTTCCATTTTAACATTAAGTTTTTACCATGGGCCACCACTTTATGAGAATAAACAAACTTTATAACTTATAAATCTACCTATCTCACAATTTTCACTTAGTATCTGTTTAATTATATATGTTCGCGAACATTTTGTTCGAGTAGCTTGGACGCGGCTTTAGAACCTCTTTTAGTGCGAAGTGTACAAGATAGCTTAATAGCCGTTGAAAAAAACTCATGGCAACCTTTATATTTTGAACGGGAAAGCGGTAGTAATGGCCGTTTAAGTGCTGTTAAGGAGGCGAGTTTTGTTGATGTAAATAATAACTGCCGCTATTGCTGGACCAATGAAAATGGCGGTGCTGCCAAAGGATTTCCCAGAGGTTGCTCTGACCACCGACCAGCAAACGTCTCTAGAAGAGGCTATACTGGACGAAGTAGTGGCGATCGGATCGCAACACAACGATCTACAAAATGTGGATCAGCTGCGTTTTGCGGGGATACACTTTCGGGTGGGCATGATCCTCATAGATTGTGTATTTCAAGAATCGGCGAATTGGTTGGTGGAAATCGCACCTAAGCTTAAAAATTGGCAGGGGTCGGAACTGGTTGCAGTGAAGGGAGAATACATCCGTAAAGGGACGGCCATAACGGTCTTTCTGCCGAAGAGCAAGGGGAAAGACACCACCTACCTGTTGGGCCTTATCCAAAGTCAGAACTTCAATGAAAGGACATCGAGTTGGCGAGTCATCAACTCTAGGGAGGAGGGTCATGGTCAGGTCCTCACAATAGGAATTGACCTCAAATCCAAGGAGGCAACAGAGAAAGAGGGACATATCCTCTATTATAGATACGGGATAACACCGGTATCAGGTCTAAGGAGAGACCAAGTTAGAATTTTTTTAGAATTTAGAATGAGTGGGAGGGGGGTTAATCACTTCGACCTTACAGATCCATTGTGTCCCCCTTTCTTGAATCATAACTCATCATACAGTCCCAGGGCTTTGACAAAAGCCAGTATCTGGGACGGTTTTATAGAGGGTAGTTCTCCATCTCCAATATCAGTCGTACCAAAATTCATGGCACGAATGGTTGTCATCTCGGCGCACTCAGTGATGAGGTGTACTGGTGTTTCCCCATCTTCCCCACAGAATCTGCATTCGCCGTTTCTTCTTAGTTTCAATCTACTGAGGTGTTCGTTGAGGAGACAGTGTCCTGTTAAAAACCCCGTGACAATCCGAAGATTGTTCTTACTCAGACCCAGGAAGATCTGTGATTTTTCTTCATCATAAGCCCTCAGAAACTTCTTCGAGTGTCTTAGACCATTGGAAAATTTCCATTCCAGGTTGCGGATGGAATCTTCCAAGTTCTTGAGTTCCGCCTTGAGTTGGTTACCACTTGGAAAGCAGAACGGTTCTGGTTCAGTTAGTGGAGTGTTCGCTGCTTTCCTAGCTAGATTATTTGCTTTTTCATTGCCTTCTATCCCTTGGTGAGCAGGCACCCAGTGTAGGAGGACTTTGTTTTCTTTGCCTAATTTATTCAGCTTCTCTATGCATTCTTTGACCAATTTCGAATTGATTGATACTGAGTTGATCGCCTTTAACGCTGCTTGACTATCAGACAAGATGGTTATTTCTTGTTTCCGATAGTTCCTATCTAAGATAAGTTGTACGCATCTCCCGATAGCGTAGATTTCTGCGTGTAGGATACTAGGGTAAGTGCCCATTGGTTCGGAGTAATTAGCTCTCGGCCCAAACACTCCGATCCCTGTTCCCGTATTGGTTTTGGAAGCATCATTATACCAAGTTATGGTATGGTCTTTTAACTGCTGGGCAAGCGTTTCGCTCTTCCAATCCTTCTTATTGCTCAATACTACATTGACATGTTTGTCAAAGTTGTACGTTCTTGGCATATCGTCCACTGGGAGTTGCAGAGACCAAGTTAAAGAGGTGGAGAAAACGGAGACAGATCCTCCAGCCTCCACCTCACGGGTTCCTCAGCCGGAGGCAAGCTCGTCTACTGTGAAGAGCGGCACGGATCGGAGGGCCAAACTCCAACCGTGGAAGGGTGTGTACCGTCGGAGGAAGAACTGTTGTCAGAGGAGGATGGGAAATACCCTGTCCCCTCTACAACAGAGGTGTATGATGGGTTATAGATTGTGTGATGACTCAAGGAAGGGAGGCACAATAGATTAGTGATTAACCCCCCCTCTTACTCATTCTACATTCTACAAATAATAACTGTTTATATATTTATAATTAATTTATTTTTGTAATAATATATTTTGATTAAAAGGGAATATGTAAAAGTGGGCAAAACAGTACCGGTCAAGCTTAATCACGTGACTAAAAGTTTATTTGGTATAACCTATGTGTGTGTTACAATGATTCGTTTCTGTTATTGAACTAATTTCACACTTATATTATTTTGAATGTAGTTTTTAGAGGCCAAGATCCAAGTGTGAATGTAGTACTTTTAGAAGATTTTGCAGCTGTTGTCGGTGTGCTAGTGGCTGGGGGATGCATGGGTATCTCATCCATGACCAACAATCCCGTGCCTGATGCTTTAGGTTCATTGCTAGTTGGCTGCATCTTGGGTTCAGTGGCATCCTTTATCATTTACACTAATGTAGCCGCACTTGTGGGCAGGTTGGTAAAACTCGGATAATTTGAATTAATCATTTCCAAAAATAGTCCAATAAATAAGGACACAAAATGACTCAAGTCTCGGCGTTGTGTACCTTTTGGGGGAAAATTATAACACTGTGCTTGGGCCGAAAAAGTCCCCAAATGGCCCAAAAATCAGTTTTTTGGAAATATCTGCCAAAATATGCAATTTACAAAATTTTTCTTGGAATAAAAAATGAAGCTTAGATGATTACCTACAAAAATGATCCTTATCATTTTTACATAGAATTAGTAGTTTTCGAGATATTCCGCTTGGAAGATCCCTGAATTTTATCTCCAAGTCTTAACGCTCCGAAGATAGATTTCATAAGCGTATCATCGAGGGGCAAACCGCTGCCAAAAATGGTGTACAATAAATACCAATTTCGGGAAAAAAGTACCGAAAATACCAAATTATTTCCAAAAAATACGTATAATGGGTCTCTTTGAAAAACATGCTCCCTTTCGACGAGTAAGGTTGACAAAACCAAGAGCACCATGGTTTAGTACGGAACTTCGTCTTTTGAAAAAAGATCGTAACCGTGCCTTTAGTCGGTATAAACAACATTAAGTCTGGAGGATTATGCAGTTTATAAGAGAGCTAAAAATAAGTTTACACAAGAAGTGCGAAGAAGTAAATATGAATATCTCGAAAATACTCGAAAAAATCTCAGTAAGCGTGAAATATGGCAAGCACTTAATAACTTAAATGTACATAGGCGCAATAATACTAAAGAAATTCCAGATAATCTTAAAGATGTGAACACAATAAATCGCCATTTTGTAGACTCTATAGAGGCTCTGAAATGTGTGACTGATCCTGTTACTGTTAACTTTTACAATAAACACATTAGCGCACGTGAAAACATTTCAGTTTAATAGCATTAATGAAGCAGAACTGCTTGATGCCCTTGCTAGCATTAAATCCAATGCAGCAGGCTGCGATGGTATATCACTATTAATGGTTAAATTGTGCTGTCCTTATATTGCCCCCTACCTTGCTCATATTTACAATTGCTGTTTAAATAATAGCTATTTTCCGATTAGTTGGAGAAATGCAATGATCATGCCCTTGCCAAAAATCTCCAATCCTACAAGTTTAAAAGACATTCGACCTATAAGTAAATTGCCAGCTTTATCAAAGATATTGGAAAAGTTGGTATATAGTCAAGTTTTAAATCATTTAACTAAACATGAAGCTTAGATGATTACCTACAAAAATGATCCTTATCATTTTTACATAGAATTAGTAGTTTTCGAGATATTCCGCTTGGAAGATCCCTGAATTTTATCTCCAAGTCTTAACGCTCCGAAGATAGATTTCATAAGCGTATCATCGAGGGGCAAACCGCTGCCAAAAATGGTGTACAATAAATACCAATTTCGGGAAAAATGTACCGAAAATACCAAATTATTTCCAAAAAAATACCAAATTAGAACCAAAAATACCGAATTAGTATTATTCTTTTTAGTATTTAAAGAATTTAAGATATTTGGAGCTTTATGGCCTCTGCAAGTCAAACTACGATAATTAGGTCAGAAAAAGATATAAGCTTAATTCAAGTTCCAAAAAAGTACGGTTCTAGAACGGTTTAAAACAATCGCACAGTCTAATTACGACAATCATTCATGTCAAAAGTTGCAAAAAACCATATTGTGCCAGTGTTTTGAACCGTTCTAGAACCGTACTTTTTGGGAACTCGAATAAAGCTACTGTCACGACACGTTTAAAAATAATTTTAACGGTTCTTTAACGGTTTTTTTTTTCATTAACGATACTTCAAAAATCGATACTTCAAAAATTTATAAAATAAAAACTAGATATAAAAAGTTTTTTTTTGTTATTTGCAGAATTTGTTACTTATAAGCTTAAAAATATAATTATATGCACAAGAAAAATAAGAAATTCTAACGAGATCTATATCATGTTTCCATGATGCGAGTTCTTTAATTTCTTGACATTTTTTCGTATGACGCTATGTACCGTTTTTGCGTAAAACCCATTTTTATGCATTGAAAAATTGCAAGCTTGGCCATTAATATCGGGTAAAAATAACCTATTTTTCAAATAGGCCAGCAACCTAACCTCGAAACACAAGTAATTATTCTTAAGTATGTATATTACGAGGTATATTTTATTGTTAAGTAGGTACTTACCTTGGACACTAAATATAAAAACTTTAAAATACTTTATATAAAATAGGTCAACACCAAAAATTTTTGATCGTGTAAAAAGCGCGAAGGCGACTCATTTTCAATGCAAATGGACTAGAAATGATGCAATCAGCTTCCCGGCCGTCGCGCATCGCCTCGTGCGTCTAATCCACATCCACCGTTGCCAGATGTCCAACAAAATACCTATTTAATACCAGTTTAATACCAAATAAAACCAGTTTATTACCAAATAATACCAGTGTATTACCAAATAATACCAGTGTATTACCAAATAATACCAAATTAGTACCAAAAATACCAAATTAGTACCAAAAGTACCAAAAAAAACACCAGTATTACCAAGTGCTTGTACAATAAATAGTGCTTTGCCCCTGGCGTATCATTGATTGATAGAACAAAATGTGAAATGATAACTCGGCTAAAGTTTAATATTTTTTGATGATCCAAAGTTCATTTAATAGACTTTTGGAACTTTTGAAACTTTTTGAATTTTGTCATATTTTATGATAATATAAAAACAGGGCAAACATTCCTTAACCCAAAAATTTTCAGATTTTTACAAACTTATTCATATTTTCACTAATAATAGCTTATTTGTCAAGATTTTTTAACAGTTGTTCTTAGAGTCTAATTAGAGAAAAAATCTTGACAAATAACCTATTATTAGTGAAAATAATGTGAATAAGTTTGTAAAAATCTGAAAATTTTTGGGCCAAGGAAAATGGGTCTTGTTTTTTTACGTCTATACATTATATGCATTCGCACTCAATCTCGATAATATAACGCCAAGCGACCGCTTAAATAAATTGATAAAAATTCAACAGGCCTATAAATATTTATACCCTAAATTAAACAACTAAACAAATAATAACAGAGATAGACTAAAATATTTTGGTTTGCTCAAAGAGTACCGAGAAGCAAAATAGTATTATAACGTCTAATTACAAATTAACACGAAGAATCTTGGAAGGAATTGTTAACGTTTATAAATAACATTTGTTTTAATTTGTTTGCACTAAGTCTTCTTCGGCGATCGGTTAAAACAATTCCTGCTTAATTATGATTATTGTTGTGTACTGCACCAAGTAACGCTATAGATAATAATTCGTTAGCACGAATTAGCCAAAACAAAAAAATTTAAAGTGAATTCCTTATACCTATTTCTAAAATTATCATGCCTATAAAAAAGGTCGACGCCTTTATCATAACCACAGATTAGACAGATTATAAACTTTGTTTTTTCTTTATTGTTTTTCGTGGTTCCAATTTTCGGAATGGGGCACTAGTTAGGTTACTAGATTGCGCACATAGCACGCCCACTTATGGCCTCTAAAATTGTGCACAGGGCCTGACCGGCACAGTCATAACAGATAACAGAACCTGTTCCAAAGCGTCATCACTACTTGGAGAGAAAATTCAGGGGTCTTCGAGATGGAATATCTCGAAAACTACTAATTCTACGTAAAAAATTATAAGGACCATTTTTGTAGGTAATTACCTAAGATTCATTTTCTATTCCAGGAAAAATTTTGTAAATTGCATATTTCGGCAGATATTTGCGAAAAACTGATTTTTAGGCCATTTATTCGGCCAAAGCTGACCGAGCACGGTGTTACAGTTCTTTTCCCTGAAACTAATTCCTACATTTAATGAACTAAAAATATATATTAATGCTTTTAAAAATTTTAAGATCCATTCCTGAAGAAAACTTGGAAAAAATTAATTGCGAATTAGAGAGAGATGTAATGATCAGGGCAATTCACGACGTGAAGGGAATCGATATGGGAAATTATTTGGTCAGATACAAAGCGGAGCTTGATTTTGATGGCAGAGAATTGACCAGATCATACTTAGACAAGCAGGATTTAAACGAATTACTTGAGGTACCTATTAAAACTATTTTTTTATTGTTATTATTAAAACCATACAATTTAAATTATCTTTTTAGGAGATTAAAAAGCTAGAAAATATCGATCAGTTGGAGGAGTTCATGTTGAAACATGGTGAAAATATTGTTGATTTAATGGGGGGTGAAATAGATAGAATTGAAATGAAATTAAGGGTAAGTAGGTACCTACTTTAGGTGTATGAAATCAATGTAAATAGACTATTATTTCTACAGGGTCGCTTTTATGTATGGAAACGGTCGATTAATAGGTAAAATATAGGAGGCACCGCAAAAAGTTATATATAAAAGTTATAGGGTTTATAAATATCTATTAGCGGATAATAAATTTAAGTATACAGGGTCGGTCATAAAGTCGTGGCACATCAAAGTTTCATTTTTTTAAATGGAGCCCCCTGTATATTATTGCATATTTCGGTTCTTCCTTCAATTCTAAGCAAAAATCGAAATACACACAATGGACCTCATACCAACCGTTTCCGAATTATTGACTTTTGAAAATATCACTTAAACAATTTGATTTAATTAATTTCGATATGTTCAGTTTCATTTAACGATGCCATTCTGCCGAAACTGTGATACTTAATAATATTTGACATTAGTTCTCAAGTTAGCATTTATAGATAAATAATATATTATTGATATAATAGCTATGAGTAATATTAATTTGTCTGCTGGCGCACCTGTCCACGTAAATATGCATGATATTACAGATCACCAAATGATATTCCTTAATCTAGGAATAAACATAAGTAAAGAAAAAATTAAATTTCATTCTTATAGAGATTTTCGGAATTTTGATGAGACTGAGTTTAATAATGACTTGCGTAGATTGAGTTGGCAAAGAATATTTCATACTAATGATATTGATAGTAAAATTGATATTTTCACTAATTATATAATGGGTCTCTTTGAAAAACATGCTCCCTTTCGACGAGTAAGGTTGACAAAACCAAGAGCACCATGGTTTAGTACGGAACTTCGTCTTTTGAAAAAAGATCGTAACCGTGCCTTTAGTCGGTATAAAAAAACATTAAGTCTGGAGGATTATGCAGTTTATAAGAGAGCTAAAAATAAGTTTACACAAGAAGTGCGAAGAAGTAAATATGAATATCTCGAAAATACTCGAAAAAATCTCAGTAAGCGTGAAATATGGCAAGCACTTAATAACTTAAATGTACATAGGCGCAATAATACTAAAGAAATTCCAGATAATCTTAAAGATGTGAACACAATAAATCGCCATTTTGTAGACTCTATAGAGGCTCTGAAATGTGTGACTGATCCTGTTACTGTTAACTTTTACAATAATAACACATTAGCGCACGTGAAAACATTTCAGTTTAATAGCATTAATGAAGCAGATCTGCTTGATGCCCTTGCTAGCATTAAATCCAATGCAGCAGGCTGCGATGGTATATCTCTATTAATGGTTAAATTGTGCTGTCCTTATATTGCCCCCTACCTTGCTCATATTTACAATTGCTGTTTAAATAATAGCTATTTTCCGATTAGTTGGAGAAATGCAATGATCATGCCCTTGCCAAAAATCTCCAATCCTACAAGTTTAAAAGACATTCGACCTATAAGTAAATTGCCAGTTTTATCAAAGATATTGGAAAAGTTGGTATATAGTCAAGTTTTAAATCATTTAACTAAACATAATTTGATCCCTGATTGCCAGTCAGGATTCAGGAGTAAATATGGTACTTCTGCCGTTTTAGCTAAAGTTTTGGATGATATATTAACAGAATTAGATACAGGTAAGGGTGCAAGTCTGCTTCTATTAGATTATACTAAGGCATTTGACACCTTGGGGCATGACCTTTTACTGGCAAAGCTTCATTATTACGGGTTTTCGGAAAATGTTGTGGAATTGGTTGGCAGTTATTTGTCTAATAGATGCCAGTGTGTAGTTCTCGATGAGGCTCAGTCGGATGCTTTACCGCTTTCTAGGGGTGTACCTCAGGGTTCCATTTTGGGACCACTCTTGTTCCTTATTTACACCGCTGATTTGAAAAATAATGTTGTGGATTGCGAACTGCATCAATTTGCCGATGACACGCAAATATATGCAACTTACACTGCTGAAAATGCAGCAGCTGTTTACAATAATATTAATTCTGCTCTTGAGAAAATAAGTAAATACTCATTGAATCATGTCTTCAGTTGAATCTTGGCAAAACTCAAATGATTTGTTTTGGTAGGGTACCCTTAGCAAAGGGATTATCTGTTAAACTGAATAACGAAATAATCCATCCACTAAAAACTGTCAAGAATTTGGGTTTGGCTCTAGATTGTGATTTGAGATTTCGAAATCATGTCAATTCGATTGTGCAGAAAAGTTATACAGCATTGAGGGGATTGTATAGGAATAAAAATATTGTGAGTCAAGCATTGAAACGTAGCCTATGTGACAGTTTGGTTCTTAGCCATGCCAACTATGCTGACATTGTCTATGGACCTTGTCTTGACGTGCAATCCTCTTCCAGAATACAGAAGATTCAAAATTCATGTGTACGTTTTATTTGTTCTCTGGATAGAGGGGAGCATATCTCACCTTGGCTTAAAGAATTGAAGTGGCTTAATATGTATAAACGCCGTAGACTGCATTTGGCTACCTTTGTACACAAACTAATTAAATTACAGACACCATTATATTTAAAATCTAAATTAAAACTGCGCCAAACTGTTCATAGCAGAGACACTCGAAATGTTAACCAGTTATATCTACCTCAATATAAGACCTCTTTATATCGACGATCATTTACGTATTCTGCGGTCTCGTTATATAATTCCCTGCCAAGTGCTTTAATAGCTAAGTCCCTCCGTTCATTTAGATCGGGGTTCAGAGATTTATTATTCGATAATGTGAGTTGAGTATACTTTTTGAAGCCAGCCAACTATGCCTCTCCTTGGCTCTCTCTTCATCAACACCAATACATGCCTGTTGCCTTATGTTATTGCATAATGTACTTATGGGTATTAATTGTTCTCTATGTGTGCTCTATGTGTTACACTAATAGTTTTGGTTTGGTTTATATTTTTTATATTTTTTTGTATTTTTCATTATTTTTTTTTGTTATTGTATTTATACATTTGATATATTAATTTAAGATAAGGTAGTGGATATTGATATTATTTGTTAGGTTATACTGTAATGGTACTCGGTTAACTAAGCATTTACTGAAATTCGCCGAGGATTATTAAAATAAAGACATATTATTATTATTATTATTATTATATAGTAAAATGAGAGTAGATATATCAAGTCTGGAAATTACAAAATTTTCGTTTAACATTTCAATTCTTCAATTTATATACAAATGTGTATTACGATTATTGTTTAAAATTGAAAGAAGAATTGAAATATGCAATAATATACAGGGGGTTTCATCTACAAAATATAAAGTTTGATGTGACACAACTTTATGACCGACCCTGTATACTTAAATTTACTAGTAGCTATTAGAAATTTAAAACCCCATTACAACAGTATCACAGTTTCGGCAGAAGGGCATCATTAAATCAAACTAAACACATCTTTGCTTAGAATTGAAGGGAAAATTGAAATATGAAATAATATATAGGGAAAAATGAAACTTTGATATGCCACGACTTTATAAACGACCCTGTATACTTAAATTTATTAGTCGCTGATAGATATTTAAAAATACTATAACTTATGTATTTAACTTTTTGCGGTACCTCCTATATTTTACCTAATAACACAGAATATCTAGCTACGCAACAGAAAAATACTCGAAATGAAAGAGCTAAAGTTGCACAAATAGTATACTAGATGGCGCGACAATATCATAATCAGAATATAATTAGAAATTTTGAACTTTCGGTTTTGGATCGACGGCTCGTCGACGGCCTTATAGCTCGGCTAAATATGCACAGTTGCCAGATTCAAAAAGACTTGAATTGGCATCCCATTCTTTTTATTGTGTATAATGCAGTATGTGCTTCTTTCTATTCTTCTTTTCTTGTCAGATACACTTATATTAATTATTCCTTTGGCTATTAAAATAGTTTTAAGTATATTATTACAAAACATATACATTTTTAATATACACTACTTTATAATGTTAACTAAGAAAATACCTTTAATTACCTTTAAAATTAATAATATACAGGGCGATTGATAGTGATATTTATTAATGCTGGAACGTTAGTAATGAAATATAAGTTTAATAATAATGGAAATAATTTAATAAAATGCAGTACAAAAAATGTTAACTGACTAAAAAATACTATAATAACAAATTTCTTCCGTTTGCCACGTTATTTATATAGACCTAGGTAGATTTTAAAAAGTGACCCAGGTACAATTAATAATATATTAGTTCGGCATAAAAGTTGCTGTCACGACATCGAACAGTAAATTAAAATTCGTAAAGTAAATTAAAATTATTAATTAAACAAATACTATATTATGGTACCACTCGATATGCTCTAAGGGACCATAATATTGCAATGTCACCGAAGATCCGTAGTATACCAAATTTAAGAACAATCGAACGCCATGAAATGGTATCGTAATATGGTACTATATTAAGGTACCACTTTATATACATCATAGTTCAATCATATTACAATGTAACCGAAGATACCTAGTATACCAAGTTTGAGCCCAATCGTACGCCAGGAAATGGTATCGTAATATGGTACTATATTAAGGTACCACTTTATATGCATCATAGTATCATCATATTACAATGCCACCGAAAATACGTAGTATCCCAAGTTTAAGCCCAATCGAACGCCATGTACGTAATATAGTACTATATTATGGTACCAGTTGATATGCTTCATGGTACCATAATAATGCAGTGTCATCAAAAATACGCAAGTATATATCAAATATGAGCTCAATCGAACGCCAGGAAATGGTATTGAAATATGGTACTATATTAAGGTACCACTTTAAATGCATCATAGTACCATCATATTACAATGTAACCGAAGATACGTAGTATAACAAGTTTAAGCCCAATCGAACACCAGGAAATGGTATCGTAATATGGTACTATATTATGGTACCTCTTATTATGCTCCATGGTACCATAATATTACAATATCACCGAAGATACGTAGTATCCCAAATTTAAGCCCAATCGAACGCCATGTACATAATATGGTACTATATTATGGTACCAGATGATATGCATCACAGTACCATCATATTACAATGTCACCGAAAATACGTAGTATACCAAGTTTAAGCCCTAATGCCGCCATGTACCTAATATTGCTATGTCATCATATATGGCACTATAAAGGTACCACTTTATATGCTCCATGGTACCATGATATTACAATGTCACTGAAGATATAGTATACCAAGTTTAAGCCCAATCGAACGCCATGTATCGTAATATAGTACTATGGTATCACTTGATATGCTTCTGAAAAAAACGGCGTCCATTTGGCTGGAAAAGGACGATTGATGACATTTCCCATATAAATTTACATACAAAATGACAGCGATATTCATTTCATAGCTATCGCTAACGCCCTTTTTTCCCGATTATACGATATGAACTTGGTATGAACACAATCGAACGTCAGGAAGTGGTATCATAATAGCAGAACAATACTTATTATATATATTGTCGCCGAATTACAATGAAAATTCCGGATTCAATTATACAATCAAACGTCAGGATGTGATTGTAATTTAGCTCATAAGATTTAATTCCAACTAACATGGCAAACTGAAAAAAATAGCTGTGATCTATTTTAATATGTTTAAATGATGTAGCAAATTTGAAGGTAGGCTTTATCAGGAAGTATTACGATATGAATTACACAATGGCAACACTGCACAAAATTCTTTTAAATTTTGTTTGTAGAAAACTGTTTTCTTTTAAATTTATTGCCCTCTATTATGTAGTAGCGAAACTACCACATCAAAATATCTGATTTGGAGACAGGCTTTTAAAGTCTGTCTCCTTTTGCTACCTACAATTTTATACATGTAACGAGGCTTCTGTTGCGTAGCTAGATATTCTGTGCTAATAATCAACCGTTTCCCGACATAAAAGCGACCCTAAAAAATGTGCGTCATAGAGGCTTTTCAGATGACAATCTTTGATAATTTTAGTCAGACTATCCTTTATATAGGATGTCCCAGAAATAAGTGCAAGTATTTTAACTGGTAGTATTGCTCAACTCCAGAAACACGCCCATGAGTTTTTTTTGCGAACGAAAATGTTGAAACTTTATATTTTTCTTGTCATTTTCCGGAAAATATTAAAAAACTTTTGAGTGCCGCTTGTTCAGTTTCTGCAAAGCGCTTCGAGAGAATGCAATGTTGCCGCCTCCTACATTATCCACATTCTGTATGTTTATAAGTTATAAGTTCGCATTTTTAAATTTCTGCAAAAAAATCATATTAATTTTATTCACTGAATATTACTATTAAGTATAGTGTAACTATGTTTTAAATACCCTTTTTACAATTTAGTAAACTAAAATAATGAAACTAAATAATCAACTAGCTATTAAAAAAGTTAACTAACTCGGTTATTACCATTTAATTTAGTTTCTTTTGGCCAGATCTACCACCCCTTAAAATACGTGCGTGTATTTCTGAGACACCCTGTATATGTTTATTGGAAGATATATTTTTTTTCAGAAAAAACATCCAGAGATACGACACTGTGATTTAGAGATTTTATAATTATTTATTTAAGTTGCTAAAGTAAAATGTTTAAGTGTTTTATATAGTAGTTATTTTTTTCTGGTATAAAACAGTATTTGCTCTAACGTATTTATTGTTAAATTACTTTACACGAGGAGGTTTATTTTATAGCTTATTATTTTTAATAAAATATTTTTTTTAATTGTTATTAATACACTTACAGAAAAAAAATGTTTCCTACATTTAAAATACACATATTTCAAAATGTACGTTTTGTATTATTTTTAATAGCAGGGAATTGGCGCATAACATCTTCTTTTCTTTTTCAAATTGGTCGGGCAAGGTTTTCCGCCATTTTGAGCAGGTCTCTTAATCATTCTGAACCTTTCTTCTAATCCTGCTCCACAAGTAACACTACACGAGCTCCATGAGCTCCACGGAGTTATCATACAATCGACTGGTTCTCCATAGGAATCTACACTAGATTGTAAAAGGTTTGGTGCTGTTCTAAATCTAGTTTGGGAGGTGGAACTTGATGTTGAAGGTGCAGGATTAATTCCGGATAATGCATCTAAAAATGAGTTACTAAGTATTTGTTTTTAACCTAGATCATATAAACTTACGTGGATAAATCAACGCCATAAGTTTAGCATTAAAAAATATGTCCCCACAGTACGACATGCCATTTTCAAACCTTCTTTATTGCACTTATGAAACGTTCAATAGGTTTGGTTTTCTCGAGGACCTTACTTTGCACATGCGCATTAAAAGTTGCACGTATTTCTAAGATAATCACAATTTTATACGGTTTAGAAAGTTCCTTTGAATAAGAAGACTAAGGAAGGAGCATATCAAAAATCTTAGGTACACCGCGATGGGCCTCAAATATGGCCGACTTAAATTCCGGTTTATCAGTGTCGTTCTAATTTTATTTAAAAAATGTAAAACTATGATGTAGGGTAGACGTGGGGTAGACTCAATAATTTGTTGTTTTATTTTACGTTGTAAATAAATGTTGGTAGTTATTAAAGTTGTTATAAAAATATATAATTCTAATAAAAATAGATAAGTTATAATAAGTATTTATTAACACAAACATCCGATACGCTACTGAAGCAGGTAAGTCAAATTAACGTATCTAAATTCTTTGACATCTAATCTTTGACAAGTAATAAATAAAAGCTAAAAATGCAAGAAAATATATAATTTAGTTAATTTAAGTGAATTTCATAAATGATCGGTTTACTACACGTATGTATATTATATAGTCACTTACTAGCGAAAAGTTGTTCCATTATTTCACTCAATTTTTGCCGAGATCTACCGCACGCTACACAACCAACTATTTTAGAGTCTTTTTCGATAAATCGCGATAGCGTCACTGTTAATTTAAGTTCTGCCACAATTTCCATCTAGATTTACTACCTTTATACAACTATCAGTAGTAGAATAAATAATAAATAAGATAAAATAAGCTCCGTAAAGACTGACAAAACCACAAAATTTTAAATCAAATTCAAATGTGTCAAATGAATCGTCAAACAGAACTGTCAATGATCCCCACCCTAGAGAGCTTTTATGGTGGCTTTTCCGCCCACCATGCATGAATACATGGATAGCATTATGCTCCTTCCTTAGTCTTCTTATTCAAAGAGAAAGTTCAAATTGTACATTGTTATGGAAACCAACTTTTCATTGTCATTATATTGTCATAATCTTATCCATTGCCTGGAAACTTATATGGCGAAATTTTGATAAAATAATTTAGTACACACTAAAAGCACGGTATGTCGCTAGTGGTAGGAAAAATAATTTGTAGAGTAGTTTATTTGGTTGCCTGTGATATGCATATACAGGGTGTTTCCTAATTAATCTAAAAAATATAAAATCGTTAGAAAAAGAATTAAGGCGGGCTCTTAATAAGTATTTTTTTTTTCTCGACAACCGTTTGATGAACAAGAAAAACTCAAAAGATCAATTTTGTTGAAAAAGGATGGCCAGTCAAGAAAAAAATATATTTTCTGTAAAAAAGCAGTGGTGTACCATTTATGTTAAGCAAAAAAATCGATTTTTTTAAATTTTTAACACCCTGTAGATCAGAAAGGAAGTACTTTAGACCTAATGGTTATATAAAAATTGTTTTAAGAACACATGAGGAATCACACCATAATTTTTTAGACTAATTCGAAAACACCCTGTATATTGTCAACTTGACAATGACTGCTGATAAATCAAAAAATACCTTTTCAGTGAAAAAAGCCTGATTTTCGCAAGAAAAATTTTGATTTTTATTGAATTTGGGCCTGCGTTTGCAAATACTGGTTTGTTTTTTAATTTTCTATATATCTAAATTATAAATATCATAGTCAGAAATAGTTTTATTATTTATTAACTGTAAAAATGGTGTTTTCTTGTTATGTTGCATCTTGCAAAGAAACTAACAAAACTGCAAAACTGTACGTGTTTCCAAAAGACGATAAGATATGTATCTTAGATAAAAGAAAAATATATGGTATGTATTCGTTGTTTGATTTTTTTCGTTCGCTTTAAAATCTATAAATCTCGGTCTATTCATTAGACAGCAAGTCGACTTACGATCATTTACATGAAACTCTGTAAAATAACTAAAAAAATAAATTGTAAAATATATATATTCTTATGTTTTATTAAAGTTACTCTGATATACTAATATATCAGTGTAACTTTAAAAATAAATCCTTTGAATTCAAATATAAACATAAAAAAACATTTACAGCAGAAAAGGCGAAGGCGCTGGGCTAAACGTAGTCTCCACTAAAAACACGGAGGGGCGCTTTGACCCAAAATTTTACTAATAAGTTTCATATCTATCTTAATAGTAGATTATTTTCTTTTATCTATGATCTTATCATAATCATATGTCATAATCTTATTTCCATTGTGTAACAACGCTGGTTTTTTTGCGTTTTTTTATTTTAAAAATTGTATTAATTACTCTTTTATCGACTGCTTTTATATAGCCAAGGATGCAAGTGTCTTCAGTGAGAAGTTAATTTAAAATTTGTGCACAATTTTATTTCTATTTTTTTTTTCGTTGGATTTACTAAATACTCGTAAAAATGGCTAGAAAGTGTTTAGTGTGTGGAAGTTCTAAGGGTTCCAAATGTTTTTTTCATAGGCAAGTAAAGTATTCAGTTGTTCTTTTATTTATATTAAACCACATGCATACCTTCTGGTTAGATTTCCTAAGAATATTGATATTCGTATATGGAGTGGCTAAATGTATTTTTTATATAATTTAATTTTTGTGACAGTAAACATGCAATTTATTGTTCGAATATATGCATTTTCCAAATTAAATTTTTTAAATTAATGTTCAAATTTGGCGCGTGGACGCTAGATCCTCGACAAAGACAGAGTAGAAGCACCGCGTGTGCAACAAAAAAAGAAGATAAATGGAAGTTGTTGATATGTTTGCGACAGTTTTCATAGTGATTTACTTATCCACGTAAGTATATATGATCTAGGATTTTTAACGATTTATAAAATTTTATTACCTCTTACTATTGAACAAGATCCCATACATTCTTCAGAAGTTAGAAAATTGTTTTTGTTACCTCTGCATCCACCATAAACAAAAGGAACGCACATCAGTTTTCTCGAGTCAAAATACCATCTGTTGTAATATCCTTGGCAGGGACCTTGATCTGAATCCTGCATACAAACCACTAAAACATACTAGCGTTCACCAAAAATGTTTGCTGTAATTATTTGATATACCTTTTGCTGTAGCCATATCAAAAGTACAATCTGGGGTATCTACACATGGCGCTTGCTGGATCATCTCAACCCTACCTTGACACTTGGCCTGTAATTCGGGGCCCACGAGCAATAGTTTAGTACGGAATTTCACACCCTTTCCGCAAGAGGCGCTGCAAGGACTCCAATCACTCCAAGGTGTAGTTGGACACATCGGATCTTCAGGTTGAACATTGGCACAAGGTTGTCCCATGCATTTTTCCTTCTCAACTGTTAAATAAAAATATAAATGGTAACAAGATAAAAAAATCGTTTTAAATAGTATTTTTATGGTAAAGCAACCTATTGTAATCGCAAAACATTTTCCGAAGCACGTCATCAATCATATCGACATTGACACTAAAGTCTATAAACCTGACTAAATGAAATTTTGGTAAAAATGTTTAAATTTGTTGTATAATTTAAGATACCGAGTAGCTCTTCATTTTACTTTATAGCGCAAATGATTGTAACAGATATTTTATTTAGATTAAAGCTGCAAAAATTAGTTTAAACCGAATTTTATTATCGCTTTGTTGGTCACATTGCGCAGCGCCGTGTTCAGCAATGTTGTCCTTTATTATTTGACAATTATCCTAGTGTCAGTCATTATTTTGTATAATATCATGTTGTTGTTGAATCTTTGTGAGTAACTCTCGTTTTTTGCCTATTTTCATAGTATTTTTTAAAAAATTGCACTTTTAAGCACAAAGGGTTTTTTTAGGAACTAAATTTTCTAGTTTTTTTATTGCATTTCTTGAAATTGTGTGTTGAAACTATGCCGAAGCGTCGAAGCAAAGAGCTTGTAGCTGCATTTCGAAACTATTTTGAACGAGAACGTGACAATAAAGGTCATTTATTACCCTTGACTGCAGCCAGGAATGGAAGTTATTATTAGATATTCTGAATTTTTAGACAAAGACTAAAAGCTTCAATGAGGAAAAATGAAATTTTTCGTAAAATTTCGCAAAGAAAGAATGAGATGGAGGTTTGGTACAATAATAACAGGGGTATCGCAATGGGCCCAAGGCCTGCGAGGTCCCCGGCAACCTACCCTAACTTAACCTTACCTGTGGTAATGTGTGGGCATTTTTTTCTTCCCATATTGTCAAGGAAGAATCTAGTTCGCATTTTGAAACCAACGCCACATGTTTCTGAACAAGCAGACCATTCACCCCAGGGACTTGTGGAACAAACTCCATCAGCGCCTCCATCTAAACTTTCAAGAGGAACGTCTTGTTCTTTAGATTCATCACCATTATTTGCATTTCTAAACAAAATTAAGTTAAATACGTTTATTTAATTTATGTAGTCAGTAATGCATACTCGGGACATTCAGGTATAGTTGCAACGCACATTTCTTTGGAAATAAGCTGTCTGTTACACTCGAACATTTTTGCTTTTTGGGGTATCTTGTATTCCCTAGTTCTCATTCTTAAACCTTTGCCGCATGTAACTGAACATTCGCTCCAAGATGAATATTCCGTTACGGCACATTCCGCTATAATAATTGATTTGTATAGTACTATAGAATAAAAACAATTATTAATCTTACGCCTTGATACTTCTTCGGTGTTCTCGCTAACATCAAGTTGAGCAGTTAAAAAGTTTTCATCGCATTGTTTAGGAATGACTTTTTGTCGCGTTATATACAACCGTGCCATTGGGTTCATTTCATTCTTTCTTGAGTCATAAAATGGTGCTCTGGGATCTTCTGGATATTTGGTTGTTATTCGATACATGCGCTCTCTAGGGTTGGTCTCTGCATTGGGAGACTATAAAACAACTATATATTTTTATATATCATTTAAAATGAGGTACGAATTTTACCATATACGTTACACCACTGTCAGTTCCAGCATCGTAAGGGAATAGGTCAATTATCATATCCTCGATCCATGTACAATTTTTTAAACATAAATTTAATCCATTTATACCAACTACCCAATCGGGGGATGGTCCTAAAAAAATTAACTATAGATAATACCAAATAAACTTTTAGTGACGTGATTAAGATTGACCGGCTATTTTGCAAATTTTCTTTTAATTAAAATATTTTAGGAAACAAAAATAAATTAATTTCATATATAAACAGTTATTATTTACATCAACTTTCCCGTTCAAAATATTCTAATAGGGTTGCGATGAGTTTTTTGCAACGACTATTAAGCTATCTTGTAGACTTCGCACTAGAAAAGTTCGACTGCAAGATCTGCTAGTCAAAATATTTAAGCTTAAAGCATTACAGCACAATTTATTTAAACCAAAAAGTAAGACAAAAAAAGTGTCAAAACGAATGACAATGTCAGAAAATAAATAAATAAATGTAGCAACTTGACATTTTTTACAGCGGAGCTACCACCTGAATCCCCAGCGGGAAATTTAAATTCTAGTTTGGTTTGGTTTGGTTTGGCCAAACCAAACTAAAAGTTTAGTTGGTATCGCTTATAGATAATAGTTTACTAGAATTAGTAATATTATTTGTGTACATACCAAACATGGAAGCCAAAGATACTAAATGATGTTTTCTATCAACTTTAAAATTTGTGCTGGTGTTCGTATTTACATTTGGATGCCATAAACCAGCAGCTTTGATAATAGTTCTGATATATTTCGCCTTAGCTCTTAGCTCTATTTCCATTAATCTTACTGATCCCCATTCGGCCAAACTTCGAAAACCTTCAGAAGCGATTTGGCCTTCTCCCCAAAATGTAAAATTTCTTTCATGGGATGCCCCAATAACGTCAGAAAAATGCGTTAACCAGAGTGACGTTGGAAAGTCTTTAGGGTGGGTTTCTTTGGACCACAGACCCTCAAAGATAACCTAAAAAATGAAAAAGTTAAGTTTTTAATGAAAATATATTGTCAGGAAGTTTATACGTTGTATTTGGCTTCATCACAAGCACAGCAATCATTTTCATCAAATGTTATGTCCTTTTCTGTCTGTTCGCAAAATGTTTTGCTTAGATTGCCATCGTCGGCGTACCAATGTTTCGAATCTTCTAGGACCATTGCCCTTGACAAACATATTTATTAGTATATATTAAAAGCGCCGATTAAAGAAATAAGAAGATGCGCAACCAAGATGTTGTTGGCATTCCCGTCAGACTGACCGAGATTTAGTATAGCTCTGCGCCACTACGCGGTGATGTCGTTTACAGCGCAGCGGATAAAGAATGCTGTACCGTAGTTCTGCCTTCAGTCGACAGACTGGGTGGTTGCCGGAGACAGTGTTGCCAGAACTACAGATTAATCCGTAAATTTACGGATTTTTGGTACAGTTCGTTAATAATACGGATTTTCTATCATTAAACAATTTAATATAATATATGATTATACAAAGAACGGCATCAAAGTTGGCTTGGAAATGAAGATCGCAGTTATTTCATATGTAAAATATTATGGTAAACGTCAATAATCGTCATTTCCAAGCCAACTAAACGACTTTTTTCGATCATACGAAATATTCGCTACCTATAAAAGAATTTTAATTTTTTTTGTTTATTCTATATTTAACACGAATAAGATATTTTCGGCAAACGTATTACAGATATTACACATTTTAATATGGCAACACTGTCGTTTTCAGTTCCACGCCGTCTTGGATATGCGTTCGCTGGCCGAATTAGAGAAAATGAGTTTTATGCGTTGGCCGCAGAACGAGTGGTGGCTCCACCGTATAACACTTGAGACGCAAGGGGAAATAAAATCAGTCTTGTCACGAATTTGCCCATTAGGTTGCGTATCTTCCCAATTCTTTTGATCAACATTAAAAATAAGCTATGCCTAAACATACCTGAAAGTGACACAACCGGAACCAGAAGGTGGAGCAGCCCACATAAAGAAAACTTCTGTTTTTGGATCTGAATTTCTTTCTGAAATTGTATTTACGCATTCCTCATTGAATGTGGTGGAATTGTCTCCGTATAGTTGAAAACTTCCAACACTTTGAGGAGAGATATTATCGGGATGTTCTGTTGATTGTACATTAATGATAAATCGTTGAAACTGTTGCAAATTTGGTAACGGTTTAGAGCCCATAAGGTACACTGAGAAATAAAAAAAATAAAACAGGCTGGTAAGTATACAGGGTACGGCAATAGTGCGTCGGGCATCTGTAGCTCCTAGAATAAAAAAGTTAGACACTTTGTTTAAGTGTAAATCTAAAGTATGTACGAGGATGTATTTCAGGAAAATATTTGGCTTCTATAGGGTGGCTCAAAAAAGTGTGAATGGATCGGGATGATTTTTTTTTAATTGAAGACCCGGTATAATATTGCATTTTTGGCTTCCTTCCAGATCACTTTACATAATCCTAAGATATGAGTAAATAGATTTCGATAGTTTCAGAGATATTAATAAATAAATAACAAATTTATATTTTTTAGCCTTTCTTAAAAGAATTATTACAAATACAAGAACTGTCCTGAAATCAAAACTATATTAGGTATTTACTTTAGATGGTTTATACTTTGCTATAAATATCGTAATCTTAAATCACACAGGATGTTCAAAATTCTACACCAACTTTCTAAAATATAAAATAATTTTCTTTTCTTTTTTAACGGAACACTCTGTATATTATTTTTTCAATAGATGGAAAATTAAAAAATTAACATTTTTTGTATTTAGAATATTTCAATATTTTTAACAGTTTGGCAGATATTCGCTGTTTTATATTTCATATGGGCATCATCCACATTAAATTTTTATCAAAGCCACCCGATGATTTTTCTCTCGTATTTTACTATTGAGCATCTATTTTTACAAGCAAAAATTCGGCCCCTCTTTTCTAATAAAATTCAAAAATTCAAGAAATTATGAATATTTTACAACCTTTAACGGGCCCCACACTCCACAGAGCACCGTGTCCAAGGCCCGGGCCTTATAGGCCTTATGGTAAAATAGGCCCTTCTATTGAGAGAGCCATATGAAATAATACTGCGTGTATCTGCAAAACCGTTAAAAATTTTGAAATACTTAAATACAAAAAATGTTCATTATTTAATTCTCCATCTATTGAAAAAATAATATAGAGTGGTGTTCCATTTAAAAAAGCAGAGAAAAATTATTTTATATTTTAGAAAGTTTGGCGTAGAATTTTGAACATCTTGTATAATTTAGGATTACGATATTTATACCAAAGCAAGTATAAACCATCTAAAGTAAATACCCTATATAATTTTGATTTCAGGACAGTTCTTTTGTATTTGTAATATTTTTTTTTCAGAAAGGCTGAAAATATATTTTTTTTATTTATTTACTAATATCTCTGAAACTTTAGAAACATATTTACTCATATCTTAGGATTTTGTAAAGTGATCTGAAAGGAAGCCAAAAATCCAATAATATACAGAGTGTTCCATTTAAAAAAAAATCATCCCGATCCACTCACACTTTTTTGAGCCACCCTGTAAAAGTTAAAATATTTTCCTGAAATACATCCTAGAACATACTTTAGGTCTGCATTTAAACAAAGTTCCCAAGTTTTTATTCTAGGAGCTACAGATGCCCGACGCACTATTGCCGGATCCTGTAGGTATGTAATAGTTTACTTGTTCTTTACTTACATGTATAAAGTTTTCCAGGTACATATTTTTCAGGATTTTCGCTAATTTTTATTTGGTATCCATTATCACCCGGATTTTTATCAAATCTTGAATGGTATATACTTGGTATTCTCGGACATTGTCCCTTAACGTTGTAAATTGCAATTACAAGTAAAAATATATACCTCCACATATTATGTTTTATTAATTCGCAAAAGAATTCATGTATACTTAAAATAACGCCGTACAGTGAACAATATTTTTAGTAAGTGGTGTTATTTATTTGTGATGTAGGTTTACTTAAGACACAATGACATTTGACCTCTTTTTTATCGTGGTTCACGAGACTTGCTCTGATATAGTAATGGTATTGAGCGATAATAGTTTTGATACGGTTTAACAATTCGTTTTAGAATTCTCGCTTAAACCCACACTATTACAGGATGTATACATTTAAAAAGCTTCATTAGTTTAAACAATGTAGCTCGCCTTAACTATACAAAGTGTACCAATATTCCGTGGCCATAGAACTGGAACTGGAATCAAAATAAGTTTATATTGGCTACAATTTACCTCAATACAAAAGTGCTTTGAAAATCAAGCTTAAGCTTGATTTTCATGCGTCCATTATCCGTTGATACTATACTCTTTTGGGAATAGTCTTCTAACCTTGGTAAAAATAAAATAAAATTTATATATATTTTGCTATGCTCACGTAACTACTGCGGTTCATTACTGCGCATCACATCTGTACAAGTTATCCCATTTTCGTGTGTTTTATGGGATTTATTATTTATGAGTAGAGATACACTGATGTGATTTTCACATTACTTTGCTACTTTTTTATGAAACTAAATATGCTACACATAGGTTTGTCCTAGCCTTCTTAGTTCCTGAAACACAGAGCGAATTTGCGATGCGCAGTAGTGAACAGATTTTGAATACGGATATCATGCGCAATAGTGAACGCAATGTCTACCGGCAGCCAGGCGATCAGCACTCTGTTCAAGAGAGCATAGCAAAAGATATAATAAAGAACCAGCTTTCTTAAAATTCTCTCTCGAAAACGTTGCTAGCTCTTTAGACTATGTAAAACAGCGAAATCGTTATGGAAATGAAAATATAAAATGACACTAATCACAAGTAAATCGTATATCTGATGAGCGGAGACATGAAAATGAAATAAATTTATAAACTGCATCATTTTCTAACCAATCGAAGTCCTTAAATTCAACCAATAAAATTAAAATCGTATCGTCGGACAACAGATGCATATGAAAATCAAGCTTTACAGAAAATGTTTCTTGTTACATCAAGCTATGTCAGTGCATAAAATCTATTATACGCTAATAATCTAGTTGGCGAAAATATGAAAATTTATGTTAATAGTATCACAAATAATATTTGACAATAAGCTTCATAAATTTTAAATCAATTAAAGTTCAGGTTTATTTTAGATTGATGCCCTATAGCAAACTAAGCACATTTGTATAGAGATAACTGTGTCCAATGAACTTATTTTGATTACAAAAATATGTAGTAGTTGTCCATGGAATGTTGGGACACCCTATGTATAAGAAATAGAGAAACGGCAAGCTAGAAGACTTTCTTGTTTTAAAATCGAATTTAAATTAATTTCAGAACACAGTTTATCGAGTGTGTGGATTATAATGATCTAATCAGTCAAAAAAATTGGCGCCCGGAGGCACGTATAGCCGCCCATACTAAAATATGTTAACAAAAAGTTGGTAGGCAGTTCTTTTAGTTTCAAAGTAAAGGAATTTTTCCAATTTTGGTCCGCGGTTATTTCCCCTATCCGCCACCTGGGGTCGCGTCCGATGGGAGTTTGGAGTTCTCCACACGGATTTTCTCAAAAACGGACTACGGAAACACGGAATATCTCAAAAACTGCGACTTTGTTATTATAACTTTTGTTGCAAATATTATTCCTAATCTTAAATTGAAAACCTCGTTTCAATAGCTACTGTAATTTTGGAGTTACGATTTTTTTAAATTTTTAACCCCCTCCATACCCCCTTACCAGCCCCCCCCCCATACCCACCCCCACCAAAAACTAATGGCCAGGTTCTCGCTTTGCATAAGAAGACTAAGGAAGGAGCATATCAAAAATCTTAGGTACACCGCGATAGGCCTCAACAAGGACATATAGAATAAGGAAATTCGACTGGCCCAAAAAAAACGTGCCGTATTTTGTCGAGGAAGACGATTTCGTCACGACCAATGGGCGTCGAGTATTTGAAATTGAAAACATATAAATTGACGGTAACCTATGTTTTTTGACTCATTTCACTGACAGATGTGATGAGATTATTATTGTAATTTATAGATCCAAACGTTTTTTGAAAAAATAATGTATTTTAAAGTTATTTCCTAGAGTTTGGTTTGGCCTTCTATATTTTGGTATTTGTCTACTAATAAATAATATCTTATTTTGTATTTTTTATTAAATTTCGAAATACAAAATAAGATATTATTTATTAGTAGACAAATACCAGAATATAGAAGGCCAAACCAAACCTCTAGAAAATAACTTTAAAATAAATTATTTATTCAAAAAACGTTTGGATTTTGGATCTATAAATTACAATAACAATCTCATCACATTTGTCAGTGAAATGAGTCAAAGTGGAGTCAAAAAACATAGGTTACCGTCAATTTATATGTTTTCAATTTCAAATACTCGACGCTCATTGGTCGTGACGAAATCGTCTTCCTCGACAAAATACGGCAAATTTTCCTACATAGCCCGCTATAGGGAGTTGAATATCCTTCTTCTATATATCCTTGGGCCTCAAATATGGCCGACTTAAATTCCGGTTTATCAGTGCCGTTCTAATTTTATTTAAAAAATGTAAAACTATGATGTAGGGTAGACGTGTGGTAGACTCAATAATTTGTTATTCTATTTTACGTTGTGAATAAATGTTGGTAGTTATTAAAATTGTTATAAAAATATATAATTCTAATAAAAATAGATAAGTTATAATAAGTATTTATTAACACAAACATCCGATACGCTACTGAAGCAGGTAAGTCAAATTAACGTATCAAAATTCTTTGACATCTGATCTTTGACAAGTAGTAAATAAACTGTTTTAAACTCGGTTTACTACACGTATGTATATTATATAGTCACTTACTAGAGAAAAGTTGTTCCATTATTTCACTCAATTTTTGCCGAGATCTACCGCACGCTACACAACCAACTATTTTAGAATCTTTTTCGATAAATCGCGATAGTGTCACTGTTAATTTAAGTTCTGCCACAATTTCCATCTAGATTTACTACCTTTATACAACTATCAGTAGTAGAATAAATAATAAACAACATAAAATAAGCTCCGTAAAGACTGACAAATCCACAAAATTTCAAATCAAATTCAATTGTGTCAAATGAATCGTCAAACAGAACTGTTAAGGATCCCCACCCTAGAGTGCTTTTATGGCGCTTTTTCCGCCCACCATGCATGAATACATGGATAGCATTATGCTCCTTCCTTAGTCTTCTTATTCAAAGGGTTCTCGGATGCCACAGTATTTTTGTGCCAAATTTGGTTAAAATCGGTTTAGCGGTTTTTGAGTTATCGTGTTACAGACGGACAGACAGACACTATGAAAATATTTTGTATTTAGGTCATTTATTCATGATTTTTCATTTATGACCTAAATAACTCATTTTGAGCGAAATTAAAAAAACTTTTTTTTGTCGATCTTAATAGCCTACCATACTATTGGTATGGTCGGCTAAAAAACATGGTGAGTACAAAAAATTGGTATATCCCAACGTTAAATAATTTCATGATCTAATTTTTTCAATTATATATTTTTATGTGAAATTGAAATTACATTCTATGAAATAAGCTGTTTAAAAAATTCTAACTCTTTTATTTTCTTAGTACAATAATTATTGTTTTTTACATTTTTAGCATTACTTTGAAAATTGGTATTATTTACTTAAACAATACCACTACATGACACCAAGAACTTTAAATACAAGGTCCTGTTACGTCCCATTCGATGTAATTTAAAATGTCAATATCGGTCCTTCTCTGTGATCCAAAATATCTGAAAAAGAATAAACATGTCGGAAATTATTTTAAAAAATTCCCAAATAAACTTTGAATGTTCTTGACAGAATGGTGGATTGGCTGAATTTAAAAATTTAACATAATATGGTGAAGATGTGAGAATAATACCTTTTGCTATACTCCACCATGGCAATGTGACATAGGTAAGAAAGGCATTCAGTGGTATGGATTGTGCACGTTTGTTTTCTTTCCAGAAATGAAACGTTTGAGTGAATCCTCGCATGGTCCATAAGGGATTATATGCGCCATCTCCCAATTCTGCAAAAATACCAACATTCATACTAAATTTAACAGTGAAATGTAATAATTTATTTCTGCCTACACTAATAATACCTCCAAATTAATTTTTTAGGGTTCCGTACACAAAGGGTAAAAACGGGAACCCTATTACTTAAGACTTCGCTGTCCGTCCGTCCGTCCGTCTGTCACAAAGGTCTATCTTATGAACCGTTATAGCTAGACAGTTGAAATCTTTACAGATAATGTATCTATGTTGCCGCTATAAGAACAAATACTAAAAACAAAATTAAATAAATGTTTCTAAATAAAAAAAGTACTTTCACTAAACATTATCTTTTAAGTAATAACTTTACATAGAATCTTTAAAGTCCTCGGGGCCGCGTGGTTAAAGCGTTAGGACTTTACGCTGCTATGACGTTGGAGCCGTAGTAAGGCAGGTTCGAATCCTAGTCAAGGCGACTTTTTTTCAAGGCGAATCGTTTTTTAATTTTTACATATTTATTTTTACTTTTTACATATTTATTATTGATTAATACAATTTTTAGTAATGTGTTTCTTCGTTTTTTTTTAAATTACTTATACGCGAATTCAAAATTTCAGCTAAATCGGAAAAAAAGTTTGTAATAATATATAGTGTCTAATTTTGTATAGATAACTAGCGTGTACCAGCGACTTCGTTCGCGTCGAATTAATCATTTGTAATGGTGGTGATAAAGCAAAGCAAGTATTTCCATTAACATACAAACTTGGTAAAATTTTCTCACATTTATGTCAGCATGAGAAAAAACAATATGGCGATATTATTATATAACTTGGTAATATTTAAGGGGTAGTTTCATCTCGTTGGAATTTGACTTTCGAAAAATCCGTTTGCCAAAAATAAGCTTTTTACGTCAAGCAGTTTAAGCAGAATCGTGGTTAAGAAATTACCCAACTTTTTCGAACACCCTGTATGATTTTTTAAAAAATTTCAAAATATGTAAAAAGAAACAAAATAAATTATGCGTGTCCAAGCGTTTTCCCGAAAGACTAACAGTTTTTTAAATAACAAATATTGTAATATTTGAGGGGCGTTTTCACCCTCTTCGAATTTGAGATTCGAGAAACCCCTCCTTATCGAACCTTAACACCCCACAGTCAATCCGTTTGCCAAAAATCAGCTTTAAACGTCAAGCAGTTTAAGAAGAATCGTGATTACTCAATGGTCATATTTTATGAAACACCCTGTATAAATTTAGAAAAAATCTTAAAAACAACAAAATAAAATATACGTGTTTAAGAGTTTTTCCGAAAAACTCACCGGTTTGTAAATAAAAAATATTCTAATATTTGAGGGGTGATTTCACTCCCTTAGAATTCGAGTTTCGAAAAATCCCTTCTTATCGAACCTCTACACCCTAAAGTCAATATATTTTCCAAAAATCAGCTTTTTACGTCAAGCGTTTTAAGCAGGATCGTGATTAATCAATGACCAGATTTTTCAAAACACCCTGTATACATTTTTAAAAAATCTTAAAATATGTAAAAAACAAAATAAAATATACGTGTTTAAGCGTTTTTTCGGAAAGTTGACCGTTTTTTAAATAAAAAATATTGTAATATTTGAGGGGTGGTTTCACTCTCTTGAAACTGGAATTTCGAAAAATCCCTTCTTATCGAACCTCTACACCCTAGAATCAACCTGTATGCCAAAATTGAGCTTCTTACGTTGAGTGGTTAGAGCAGGATCGTGATTAATCAGTATGTCAGTCACTTAAGGATTTTATATACAGTTCGCCTGTTGGATCTGTGTCTATGAAAGGAATGCGGACAAAAAACATTTAAATAAACAGCAATATATTTTATACGTCGACTTGACGAGTACGTCACCACAAATTGATCCGCCCACTCATTTTATTGGCTACTTGCAAATTTGTCGAAGTTTTATTGATGGGACGCGTTGTCTAATTTTTTAAGAAAAACATCGAGAGAATATCGTTTCCCCTCTCACGGATACCCCGTAGCCACAGAACGGATAGACGTACTGTATTAGTATAGATGAATGGTAAGAAAGCCTTCGTCCGCGAGTCCGACTCGCACTTGACCAATTTTTATTACTTTAGTAAGTAGGACATTAAAAGAGACCATTTGATTTAATTAATTATAAAACTGTTAATATGTTATAAAAAGAGTGTAGTGTTATACAGGGTGATTCACGGCCATGGCACGTTAGACGTTTGTGGAGAACCGGTGATAGGATTTTTTTGAAAATTTAGATTTTTGCATAAAGGCACTGTTTGTTATTGTCTAAATTATTTTCAGCGTTACCGTGTTGCCGCTTCATAGTAAAAGTGGTAGCGTCTTCGTTATTTTAAATGGAACACCCGGTATATTATTATATTTTTTCAAAACTACTTACATATATCGCAACCATATCTCAAAAATTTTCTATTATACTTAACCTATACCGATCTCTAATAGTTTTCGAGATAAAAAATAAAATATGTGTAAAATTATCAAAAACATGATCTTGAATAAGCATTGGTTAAATCATAAATTTGGCATATTGAAAGCTAAAATTTCGTTTATAGGTTAAGGAAAGTCGACATATTCGATCTGTCCAAATCAACTGATTGGATACCAAACAGAAAAGTCAGAAAAAATAATTATTTCCGATATTTGTAAAATCGCTTAAATTATTGTTATTTTAAAATTTAAATTCCAGTCTATGTATATTATTTAAAAAATTGGAACCCAAATAAAACTGTTTTTCAAAGATATATCATGTTTCTATATCTAAACCTTCTGGTTTCTTCAGTAAAACCATTTAAAAGGTACCTAATAATTATATTATACAGAGTGTCCCAGAAATAAGTGCAAGTATTGTAACTGGTAGTATAGTTCAACCCCAGAACCCCGCCTATGAGGTTTTTATTCTGGTTTTTATTCTGGTTCTCAAAATTTTAGCAAAAAATCTTTTTTTTGGAAATTTTCAAAGTAAAACGAGATCTACCACCCCTTAAAATACTTGCACTTATTTCTGGGACACCCTGTATATTTGATATCAATTAAACTTTTAGTTACGTAATCGAAGGCGCGATTTTTAAATTCACTGTTGCTAACCATGGCAATATTCGGCGCCATGCTGACTAACTAGAATTTAAATTTCGCGCTGGGGATTCAGGTGGTACCCCGCTGTAAAAAAATGTCAAGTTGCCGCATTTATTTATTTATTTCCTGACATTTTCAAAATGTTTACTAACGGACCTTGCCGTCGAACATTGTTCTTTTTAGAACCTCTTTTAGTGCGAAGTGTACAAGAAAGCTTAATAGCCGTAAAAAACTCATTGCAACTTTATTAGAATATTTTGAACGGGAAAGTAGTTGTAATGTCCCACATGTCCCTAAGGTGCTGTTAAGAAGGTGAGTTTTGTTGATTTGAAAATAACTATTTATATGTACAGTGTGGGTTGACCCACCAAATTCGACGCTTTTAAATGGAAACACCCTTTTCTATAGGAGATAGGCGAAAACTAATATCGGTGTCTGGAGCTCAATTTTCACCAAAAACATGATGGTGAAAACCGTACATCAATATCTGTTACCGTTTCGGAGTTTCGGAGTTTTTCCAAAATGTTAATGTCATAACGCAAAATAAGATATAAAAATGCTATATTCTGATGAATCCAAAAAACTTATGCTTAATGTAGTAAACTATTTTCAAAACGATTTAGGATCTCGATTTAAGGCAATTCAAAAAGCATCCGAAGCACTAAAAGTCCCAGAATGCACATTATATAATCTAGAAAAACCAAACAGAGCTACAGATTTCGAATTTAGAAGAAATATGTCTGCAAGCGTTTCCCGGAGCAAAATCCGAATTACTAAGAATACCCTACATTGTTTGAGGGAAGTAATTTACAAAATGTATGCGCGAAAGGAAAATCACAGTAGAAACTATTTTCCTGCAATTTATCGAAGAGTCTCCAGAAACTAAGATTTCCAAAAGTTCGTTATATTTGGGAATTAAAAAAATGGGTTTTCATTTCAAAAAACCGGATGGAAGAAAACAGTTATTGGAAAGCCTGAATCAGATTAAAAAGAATATTATTTTTGAACAAATACCATGCTGCTAAAAGCGAAAAGCTCTTTAAACCTGTTTTTCTGTAGAATTTGTACTTAAACGAGCCCTTAAATAAATATTATTACTGCTTGCTCGACTTCTTGTTATATTATTTATTATACTTTTAGTGCATCAGACGCTTTTTGAATTGCCTTAAATCGGATCCTAAATCGTTTTGAATATAGTTTACTACATTAAGCATAAGTATAAGTTAAGATATTCTTTGGTATAAGCCTTAAATCGAGATCTTAAATAATATAGGTATTTTTTTAAGAAAACTCGGTATCTAGTTAATAAAACGATATTTTTAAAATTAGTGCGCTTCTTTTATATTTTTTTTATTACGTCAACATCTTTAGAATTTCATAAAATTAATTTTTATTATTATAAACCGCCACTGATAATATGAAATTTCAAGTCACTCCGCCAATGCCATAAGAAATATGTCAAGCATTTGGCATGACAAAGGTCATAACCTAATTTTTTTCATGCGGGTTTAGATGGTGCAAGAAGCCGCATACGTTAAGTTACTAAAACGGCTGGTACCTCTAAATAGGTATTAAAAATACTATATTTATATGTACAGTGTGGGTCAAATTCGACGCTTTTAAATGGAAACACCCTTTTCTATAGGAGATAGGCGAAAACTAATATCGGTGTCTGGAGCTCAATTTTCACCAAAAACATGATGGTGAAAACCGTACATCAATATCTGTTACCGTTTCGGAGTTTCGGAGTTTTTCCAAAATGTACATTTTTAACAAATCGCCATACCTTTTTTGATATGGAAAATTTTGTATTTCTATGAAAATATTTCCAAAGCACCTTTTTACGTAGAATTTAATAGTTTAAGTATAATTTTTTTTTTGATTTATCAACAGAAAAAATGATTTTTTATTTGGGACACCCCCTATATTTTTAATTAATTGAAAAGAATTTAAAATTACCTTTCCAAAAATATAGCACACTTGATATTTTGTTATAATCCCCTTCAAATATACAGAATTTTTAAAAGTTCGCCACTTTTAACTAGTATAGGCTTTGGACCCCTTAATGAAACTCGAAAACATATTTTTCCAGCAAGACGACGCACCGCCTCTGACCGCTGAAGTTATCAACAAATTTTTGCAGCCAATTTAAAGAATAATTGAAGAGCTAACCAAGATCACAGCCGTTGGCCGTCGAGGCCGCCTGACTTAGTGCCCATGGATCTAATCCTATGGATATATTTGCGGGAGAATAAAGGTTCCTTATTCTTCCGTATAATCTAGACAAGAATTAGAAATGCTTAGCAGCTATGAGAGGGTATCTTTCATCCCCACTGAGTTAATGAATTTCGCGAGAAATGTTCAAAAACTGCCCCGTCTGTCCATAACAGAAGACTGTCGATAAGTCGAACACCTGTAGCAAAATCTCATATCTTGGTTTGCTATTTATTTTTATTGTTATTAGATATAGTTTAAATGGGTCGATGTTGGTTAAATATAGTTTAAATAGTTATAAAATTCTGCATCTCTCATAGCAAATAAAATTTTCCATAGCAAAAAAGTTACAGCGATTTGTTAGAAATGCATATTTTTGAAAAACATCCCGTAAAGGCTGATTCATGGTACACCGGGCCGTACCCGAGCCGGGCACGTTCCGTAAAGTAGACACCGAGCCACGTCCGGGCCTTCAATATATGCTACACCGAGTGGACAACGGGGATCATGTCCATGCCGATTATATTCTAGAAAACAGTGTTGCCGCAGTGGTACATTTGTACCAAATTTGATACTTTTAATTCTATTTGGTACAGTGGTACTACATTTTCAAATCCAGGATGATTTGGTACAATAATTATTTCCAACGCGCACCGAAAATGAATAGATATTTAATAATTATTGTCGTTGATATTGCATTAAACGCGCTTACCGATACCATTCGGAGACAATCCGCATTAATTAACGACGTATTATAAACGTTGTAATGTCTATAGCGTTGCCTATATTAAATAACCCAAAGAAAAAACTTGAAAATTTACTGTTTCTAACATGCTTCTATATTTGCGTTTTTTAACTAAAATTTAAGTTTTCCAAGTATTGTGTGTAGTATTAGAATTACTTAGATTTCTTCAACCTATACATACTTATAATTGGGTTTTCTGAATTTCAATTTCATGTTTTTCGTCTCGATTTGTGTCTTTCTCCAGGAAGTTTTTTTATGTAGAAATTTATGAAGAAATTCACAACGACCAAACCAGTTAAAGTCATTTGCAGATGTATTTTGTTGTGCTTTAAAAAATTGTACCAAAGTGGTACATTTTTAGTTTATAATGTGGTACGCGCTAAAAGTTGGGTGCGGCAACACTACTAGAAAACAGTCGCTATAGGCCCGTAGACGAACGAAGTATTTAGCCCGGGCGACTCATTTATGTTTGCCGCTATGGTTTGCCGCAACGGGGCCGGACCGTAGCGGATCCGAGGAAAAATGTACACCAACATTTCTCGGACGGGGCACGGACGCGTTCCGGCGAAGCTCGGCCCGTGCTCGGCTTAGCATGAATGCATAAGTATAAATAACATTTGACAATGTTTGGCCGTGCCTTCACCGTCGCACGGCCCCGGCCCGTCACGGTGTACCATGAATCAGCCTTAACTCCGAAACGGTAACAGATATCGAAATGCGGTTTTCACCATCATGTCTTTGACAAAAATTGAACTCCAGACACCGATATTAGTTTTTGTCTATCTCCTATAGAAAAGGGTGTTTCCATTTTAAAGCGTTGAATTTGACCCACCCTGTACATATATTTATTTTTTGATTCCTAAAATATTTTGATTAAAAGAAAATACGTAAAATTAGTCAACGCTGTGCCAGTCAAGATTAATCACGTGACTAAAAGTTTATTTGATATAAATAAAGCATCTAGATTGATGAAAGTATTTTGATTGCTTGTGATGGGGCAGTGTAAATCTGTGTTGCAGCAGCAAAGTCCGACATAAAGTGTAGTTTTTTATATAATATATAACTTAATAGTGTTATACCGTTAAAATCTTACCATTCAGGTATTTTTTGTTAAGGTCACACCAGTAGTATATGTTAGTACCATCGGGGGTTACTCTTTTAGGCGGAATCACGTGCTTTTGTCCTCTTACATAAGTTTTCCCATTCTTTTTTGAATTTTTTGGTAGCGTACAGTAGCTGTAAATATTTTTGATGGTGAGCTTGTTGTAGTTTCCATCAAAATTTCTGTTGGAAGCATTGAACTTAATTCTAGACGCGTTCTTGTTGGTTTGGTTATCATCGGGTGTGTTTACGTAATTATTTACATTATCCACACTAACACGCTGTGGTTCCTTTGTAGATATATTGTCCGATATGCATATTTTCTTTATTTCCTGTACACAAGGCAATTCCTCTTTACCGTTGACGGTAATGTAGGGATTTTCAGTAGTACTTTTCTCCAAAGAAGTATTACTTTTGTTACTTTTAATTGAAGCCCTGCTAGGAGGTCTGTCTTCAACTGAGTCGCTGTTCAAACTGATAGCATCGTCCGCAAATTCAAACTCAGTATTAAACTTGTTATTTTTTCGTTTTCCTTCTTTCACCACTTTAAGCTGCTTACTCTTTTTCTTTACTTTTTCCTTCCCCACCTCATATTCCGATTGGTTCAGTAAATTAGTCACGTGCGAGGTACAAACGCACTTATTCTCTGGTGGCCCCAGCGGGGCTTTTAAGGCGCATTTTAGGGGGTTCAAACAAGGCGGTCTGTCATACATTTCGAGCAGGATGACGGAACCACGCTTCCTTCTTTGGAAACAGCCACAGCAGCTCGATTTGGACATAGAAGCAGGACCGGACTGGCCTACAACAAGCAAAAAATTTTATAAGTATTTAGGCCATGATTTTTTGTACCAAATAGGTCCAAAAACTATTTATAATTATTATAAAATTAATGTTTTGGACCTATTAAAGCACTAATTCGTACATTTTAAGCAGCTACATTTGAAATTTCTAATCTAATTCGACTAAATATGGACCTAGGATGTTATATCTATTGTTTGTTTAACCAGTGTCCTGCCTCTACTTCCAATTGACTTTACCCTCGAATGTTTTTAAAACTCGTACTTCTCAATTGTGTCCTTTTATGAATGTTTCGGCATATAAGTGTTTAACGATTTTCTTCATATAACAAAACATTATATATAGTCAAATAGCTTTATCAGATACAGAAATTATACTTCGGTACTGAAACCATTGCTTAATTCGTCGACCGGGACTTATCAGGCGGATTGTGTACCTTTTGGGGAGTAGTTTTAGAAGAAAAAATTGTAACACCGTGCTCAGTCAGCTTTGGCCGAAAAATGGCTCCAAATGGCCGAAAAGTCAGTTTTTTGCAAATATCTGCCAAAATATGCAATTTACAACATTTTGCTTGAAATAAAAAAATAAAGCTTAGGTCATTATCTAGAAAAATGGTCCTTATCATTTTTTACGTAAAATTAGTAGTTTTCGAGATATTCCGCCTCGAAAATCCCTGAATTTTCTCTCCGAGTCTTAACGCCCCGTAAGATAGATTTCATAAGCGTATCATTGATTGATAGGACAAATTGTTTAATAACTCAGTTAAAACTTAAAATTTTTTGATGATTCATAGTTCTTTTAAAAAGTAGAATCAACAGCTCTCCGGGCAAAACCGGGCAAACATTCCTTAACCCAAAAATTATCGGATTTTTACAAACTTATTCATATTTTCACTAATAATAACTTATTTGTCAAGATCTTTTTTAACAGTTGCTCTTAGAGTCTTCATAAGCAACTCACAAAGTTTGAAATATTTGTTTAATCACATTTTAATAAAAAAAACAACTATTTGTGAGTGGCTTTCCCACTTTTTGTGATTTCAGGAAAGTATCGCTAACAAAAGAAAATTGTATTATTACGAATAGTCGAATTGGTTTTTTTACCAACAACTTTACGAAAAAATTGGCGCCAGGAGGCACGTATAGCCGCCCATACTAAAATATGTTAATAAAAAGTTAGGCAGTTCTTTTAGTTTCAAAGTAAAGGAATTTTTTCAAATTTTTTTTATCTCAAAAACTGCGACTTTGACTGATTTTGATGTTATTACAAATTTTGTTGCAAATATTATTCCTAATCTTAAATTGAAAACCGCGTTTCGCTAGCTACTGTAATTTTGGAGTTACGATTTTTTAAAATGTTTAACCCCCTCCCATATGCCCTTACCAACCCCCCACCCCCACCAAAAACTAATAGCACAAAATATCTAGCTACGCAACAGAAAAATACTCGAAATAAAAGAGCTAAAATTGCACAAATAAAATACTAGATGGCGCGACAATATCATAATCAGAATATAATTGGAAATTTTCAATTTTCGGTTTTGGATCGACGTAGATCGACGGCACGTCGACGGCCTTGAAGCTCGGTTAAATATGCACAGTTGCCAGATTCAGAAAGACTTTAATTGGTATCCCATTCTTTTTCTGGTGTATAATAATTTCTTTCTATTCTTCGTTTCTTGTCAGATACACATATATTAATTATTCGTTTGGCTTTTAAAATAGTTTTAATTTTAAGTATATTATTAGATAACATATGCTCTCAAAATACATTTTTAATATACACTACTTTATTATGTTAACTAAGAAAATAACTTCAATTACCTTTAAAATTAATAATATACAGGGCGATTGATAGTGATATTTATTACTGCTGAAACGTTAGTAATGAAATATACGTTTAATAATAATGAAAATTATTTATTAAAATGCAGTACAAAAATGTTAATTGACTAAAAAATACTATAATAACAAATTTTTTCTGTTTGCCACGTTATTTATATAGACCTAGGTAGATTTTAAAAGTGACACAGGTACAATTAATAATATATTAGTTCGGCATAAAAATTGCTGTCACGACATCGTACAATAAATTAAAATTCGTAAAATAAATTAAAATTATTAATTAAACAAATCTTTATAAAGAAACGCAAGTATATCAAATTTGGGCCCAATCGAACGCCAGGAAATGGTATCGTAATATGGTACTACATTATGGTACCCCTTGATATGCTTCATGGTATTGCATAATATTGCAATGTCATCAAAAATACGCAAGTATAATCAAATATGAGCCCAATCGAACGTCAGGAAGTGGTATCGTAATATGGTACTACATTATGGTACCCTTGATATGCTTCATGGTACCATAATATTGCAATGTCATCAAAAATACGCAAGTATAATTAAATATGAGCCCAATCGAACGTCAGGAAGTGGTACCGTAATATGGTACTATATTAAGGTACCACTTTATATGCACCATAATCCCATCATATTACAATGTCACCGAAGATACTTACTATATCAAGTATAAGTCCAATCGCACGCCGGGAAATGGTATCGTATATGGTACTATTATGCTACCTCTTGATATGCTTCATGGTACCATAATATTGCAATGTCATTAAAAATATGCAAGTATATATCAAATATGAGCCCAAATGAACGTCAGGAATTAGTATCATAATATGGTACTATAGAAGGTACCTCTTTATATGCTTCATGGTACCATAATATTACAATGTCACTGAAGATACGTAATAAAACAAGTTTAAGCCCAATCGAACGCCATGTATCGTAATATGGTACTATATTACGGTATCACTTGGATATGCTTCATGGTACCATAATATTGCAATGTCATGAAAAATACGCAAGTATATATCAAATACCGTCTCATACCGAAAAAAACGGCGTCCAGTTGGCTGGGAAAAGACGATCCCATATAAATTTACACATAAAATGACAGCGATTTTCATTTCATAGCCATCGCTAACGCCGTGTTTTCCCGATCATACGGTATGAACACAATCGAACGTCAGGAAGTGGTGTCATAATAGTCGATTACAATCAAAATTCAGGATTCAGTTAGAATCAAACATCAGGAAGTGATTTTAATTCAGCTCGTAAGATTTAACTCCAACTAACATGGCAAGTTAAATACTTATATCTATTTTAATACGTTTAAATGATGTAGCAAATTTGAAGGTAGGCTTTATCAGGAAGTATTACAAAATAAATTACACAATGGCAACACTGCATAAAATTCTTTTAAATTTTGTTTGTAGAAAACTGTTTTCTTTTAAATTTATCGCCCTCTATTATGTACTAGCGAAACTACCGCATCAAAATATCTGATTTGGAGACAGGCTTTAAAAGCCTGTCTCCTTTTGAGACCTACGATTTTATACATGTAACGAGGCTTCTGTTGCGTAGCTAGATATTCTGTGCTAATAGCCAGAATCTCGGGTGCCACAGTATTTTTATGGAAAATTTGGTTAAAGTCGGTTTAGCGGTTTTTGAGTTATCGTGTTACAGACAGACAGACAAACAGACACCATGAAAATATTTTGTATTTAGGTCATTTATGACCCAAATAACTCATTTTGAGTGAAATTAAAAAAACTTTTTTTTCCGATCTTAATAGCCTACCATACCTGTTAGTATGGTCGGCTAAAAAAGTACCAGGATTATTTTTTAGCTAAGGACCCAATCTTCCATTTGATCATGAAATCCTTCTTTGGTCTTTTAGAGCCGTTTTTAAGCGTTTTCTCGGGACTTTACAAAAAGTGTCAGGACTTTTTTTGTAGATAATGACCTAAGCTTCATTTTTTATTCCAAGAAAAATTTTGTAAATTGCATATTTTGGCAGATATTTGCGAAAAACTGATTTTTAGGCCATTTAGAGCCATTTTTTCGGCCAAAGCTGGTGTTACGATTTTTGCCCCTTACGAAACTACTCCCCAAAAGGTACACAATCTGCCTAAAAAGTCCTGGTTGACGAATTAAGTCTCTTTTCGTGTCCTTTTTTACTGGACTATTAGTAATTATGCCACAGCTAATAATTTAAAATGTGATATAGTCACTTACCGTCTCTTAAATCGCCTGCTTCAATTTCACTGACGCCATTATCCCAATTGTCCAGTCCTTCGCTCTCTGACCTGGCTTTGACATCCAACTTGGTCCTCCAACTGCCTCTCACAAAATTATTTATATTCGCGCTGGGATCGCTTAAACGTCTTTGTGATCTGTAGAGGTAAAAATCTTCCGGATCATCCTACAAATAAAAATTGATATTTCTAATTTTCTATATTTTATCTTCTGGTTGTATGAATATTTCTAAAATTTTGGAAATATTTCTCTATCATTTATCAAGAAAATAGGCCTCTAAATGCGAAGTTTTGGTAAAAACTTGAAATTTTGATATAAGTTACTCAGAAAGATCTAAAAATTTTCACCCCAATTCACCCCGAGAGGGGGTGAAAAAATAAAATAATTAAATAAAATTATTTTTTTTACATTTTGGAGAAACGGTAAGAACTAGAAAAAAAGTTGAAATAAAAGTTGTGGAGCGTCCAATTTTACATAGAAATTATCTCTATACTTTTCTTGCTCAGATCAAAATTAACCGAGATAGGGTGGCTAGAAGCTAGGGGATGATACTAGAAATTTAAAAAAAAATTTGTTGCTGAAAAATTCATATTGTTACGTTTTTCGTCGGTTCCGTGTGGATAGAAAGTCACAATTTATTTAAACACAATTTATTTAACACTAAATAACAAACAATAACTATTAAAAAAACTTAAAGAACTATTTATAACTTATTTACAATTTATCTAACTATTTATCTAACAGGAATTTATTTTGAATATAGCGCGGCAATTGTAACTGTACGCGTCGACCGGTTGTTTATCTCTATCCTCCTCAGGCCTCAGGTGTCTGCCTATATATGAGAGCAACAGACAATCCAGATTTGTCCCGTCAATTATTAAGGTGCGTATTCATTATCCGAACGAACGAACGAACCAATGTTCGCTAGTGGTATGGACGGGGACCGTACGATAGAACCGCACGAGAAGATCGGACGCGAACGCCTTTGATGTACCGACTCGAAATGGATTGTCGAGCGAACGAACGGCCGCATGCGTTCGGTCCCCGTCTAAATATACCTGACTTTCATTCGTTCGTTCGTTCGGATAATGAATACGCACCTTTAGCCGTTCTAGAAGGTCGGCGTCGCCAAGCCTAAGGCCGAGTTCACACGGTACGGGTCCGCAACAATATATTTAAGCAACAATACATTTTTATTTAATTTGTTTGGAAAATTATAAATTTCAATTACATTTTTTTTAAATTCACCCCAAGAAGGGGTGAAAAATATAAATAAAGTGTTTTTTTTTCAAAGTTCAGAGAAAACGGTAAGGATGAATTTGAAAAAAAGATTTCAAATAAAAGCTGTTCCCTAAATTAAAAATAACTTAAGAGTCCATTTCACTAGTCGAAAAAAGTAGCACAATAAGCGTTCGGCATTTAACGTTTTATGTAAAACTGGCTAGGTATTTTTACGCAAATGAAGAAGGAAATTAAAAATAAAGGATTATACTATATCCGTATTGTAGCACATTTTTAGAAAACTTCTTTATTTTTAAGATTTTAATGGTCAAACATCAACAAAATATTCTTTACGTTTGGAGTTAAATTTTCTCGAAAATAAAGACATAATTTAAAATTCCGTTACAATACGGAAATAGATTGAAGTTTTGTGATTACAGTGATATATAATTTATATGGTTTTGTTTTGTAACAAATTTCTCTCTATTTTATGACAAATGCTGAAGCTCTGAAAACCTTAATCAAGTCTTAATCCAAGCACGTGTGTTTGGAATTTTGGGTGTTGCTTAACACGACAGGATCGGGCTAAGCCTTAGGCAGATATAGGAGAAATATAATATATACAGGGTCCGGCAATAGTGCGTCGGGCATCTGTAGCTCCTAGAATAAAAAACTTGAGAATTTTGTTTAAGTGCAAACCTAAAGTATGTACCAGGACGTATTTCAGGAAAATATGTAAACTTCTATAGGGTGGCTCAAAAAAGTGTCAGTGGACCTGGATGATTTTTTTTAAATGGAACACCCTGTATATTATTGCATTTTTGGATTCTTTTCAGATCACTTTACATAACCCTAAGATATGAATAAATATATTTCGATAGTTTCAGAGATATTAAAAATAAATCAAAATATATATTTTTCAGCCCTTCTTAAAAAATTATTAAAAATACAGGAACTGTTCTGAAATCAAAAGTATATTAGGTATTTACTTTAGATGGTCTGTTCTTACTTTGCTATAAATATGGTATCAAAATCATACAGGATGTTCAATATTCTACGTCAAACTTTCTAAAATATAAAATATTTTTTCTTTGTTTTTTTAAATGGAACACCCTGTATATTATTTTTTTATTAGATCGAGAGTTAAAAAATGAACATTTTTTGTATTTAGAGTATTTCAAAATTTTTAACGGTTTCGCAGATACGAGAGAAAAATTATTGGGTAGCTTTGATAAAAATTTACTGTGGAAAATGCCATATGAAATATAAAACTGCAAATATCTGCGAAATCGTTAAAATTTTTGAAATACTCTAAATACAAAAAATGTTCATTTTTTAATTCTCCGTCTATTGAAAAAATTATATACAGGGTGTTCCATTTAAAAAAACGAAGAAAAATTATTTTATATTTTAGAAAGTTTGGCGTAGAATTTTAAACATCCTGTATGATTTACGATTTTCATATTTATAACAAAGTAAGTACAGACCATCTAAAGTAAATGCCTAAAATAGTCTTGATTTCAGAACAGTTCTTGTATTTTTAATATTTTTTTTTAAGAAGGGCTGAAAAATATATATTTTTGATTTATTTTTTAATATCTCTGAAACTGTCGAAATATATTTATTCATATCTTAGAGTTATGCAAAGTGATCTGAAAAGAAGCCAAAAATGCAATAATATACAGGCTGTTCCATTTAAAAAAAATCATCCAGGTCTACTCACACTTTTTGAGCCACCCTATAGAAGTTAAAATATTTTCCTGAAATACATCCTGGTACATATTTTAGGTTTGCACTTAAACAAAATTCTCAAGTTTTTTATTCTAGGAGCTACAGATGCCCGACGCACTATTGCCGGACTCTGTATATTTCCTTGGGCCACACACCCGCTTTACTCGACCCCTGAGAGCGGACCGAACAAACAGCGTAATAGACTCTTAATATACAGTCTTTAAAATACAAAGTACCTAGTCTTTTTCGCTTCATGATGGAACAGACAATATTTTCTAAGCATATTACCTACCTCCCAATCCGAATCCCACATATCGGTGGCACAAAATCCGGGCTCAGAAGTTGGAGTTTCTACACCGGAGCCTTTGGGTTTTGTCACCGCCATTTCAGCATGGCCTTTGCCTTGAGGCCCTTTCATTCTCACAAATTCGCAGCGCTGTGTTGCCGAACTTGAAAACAGTCCGAAAGTCATTCTTTGTGCCATTTTTGTGCCTAAACTCGATTGCTGAAATAAACAACAATTATTGACAATTTCAAATGTTAATAAAATTGCCGAAAAAAATGTTAACGCGTAAAGGAGGGCGTAATTAGGGCATTGTTGGGTGCAATAACATTCAATAACTCAACTTTCCTGGATATTCAATTCTCCCGAAACAACATTTTATAGCTTCATAGTTTCTCACACCGATTCCACCAAAAGGAAAAATGGATTCAAGCAGTTCGACGAAACAAGTGAGTAAACAAAGTGCCCATTACATAATCAAAAAATTAAATAGACATATACTATGAGAAGGATAACATATATAATTTGCAATATTAATGGTATACTCTTTTTTTAATCAACTAGTGCTTAAATTTTTTATGAATATCTTCTAAAATTATAATTCTGGGCCTTTGAAAAATTTCGTTATAGCCGAAATGACCCTAAATTTATGTCCTCACTAGCAAAACCGTTGCGCGTAAAATAGGGTTGCCAACCGTCCTCTATTCCAGAGGATAGTCCTCTTTTTGAACTCACTGTCCTCTTTTCTCTTGCGCATTGAAAAATCCCTCTTTTTTACATACCAAACTCAAAATAAAACAACCAATAAAACTTGCACCAAATAATTACACCAATAAAACTTCTAAATGACGTACCAGTACTTAATCCTAAAAATAATATGCCGCGTGTATTTTGATATGGATTTAGAATTAGAAATTTCTAAATCTGAAATTATACGTCAAAAATTTATATTACCCTTTAAGATTAAATCTCCATCGTAAAACAAGCAAATAGATTTGTCAGTTTTCTGTTTTTGCCGAAAAAAAAAATAATAAAATATTTTGGACGTCATAGCTATTCTTTGCATTTTGTTTGAAGAATAGTAGTTATGACGTCATTCACACGGTTGACTTAAAACTTTGACGCAAAATAGTGTAAGTTAAGACGTTTAATTTTGCTTCAAAATTACTTAGGTGTGGTTATAAATTGCTAATAGTTATTAATGATACAAGTTCGATACGAACATCATAATGAAACGCGTGCAACGTTAAGCCACCAGGCGTTAGCCGAGTTTCATTAAAAAGTTCGTATCGAATGTGTATCATTCAAAATTTAATCTACGACGCGACACGAGGGACGATCGAAAGAGATTTTATTTAATTTAAAATATCAGAGATATCCTCATAAAAATTAAAATTCCAAATTATCAGGTGCCGATATTAGTCGACGCCGTGGTAACCGTGCTTGTTGATTGCAGTTGATTGTTTCCATTTTGACTTTGACAACTCAATTATTGATGTTCAATTTTGTGTTAAACGTTCAGTTTTAGCAAAGAATAATATTAATATGGGTGATTCTGATTCTGAAAGTGTCCCTTCGGATATTGAAGGCATTGCGCAAAACGTTGTCGATTCCCTACTTCCCGAAAGACAAACGTACGAGCAAGCCTATGTAAAACCTGAAGATTGGTGTAATGGGAAAGGAATCAAGAATAGTAGTAACGAAAAGGTTCTCCTGGCATATTTTAAACATCTTTCAAAACATAAATTCCTTCAGATTTTTGCCAGTATTCTGTTTTAGACAATGTTTTTTAAAAATGGTGGGACAATTTGTGTTTTGTAATAACTCTTAATTATTTTTTATCATGGAGTTTAATTGTCGTACACCTGGTTTCCGAAGGATACAATGGTAAGTAAATTAAACATATCTACTTACAGTTATAGATTTTTTAAATTAGTACTGCTAATAAATGCTACTTGCAGAGCAGTTATTTAATTTTTTTACGGTGCATGTAAGGAATTAAGGACGCGCGTTTTTTTTTATGATCAGCAGATAATTACATCTGATTTAATTTGTTTTGATTATTTCAGGTCCCAAACGGAAACAAACTGGGAATCTTGCCTACACCAAAATTATATACCTAGCCGTTTCCAATTCACTTCAAAGGGAGGAAAATTATGTAAAACTGCCTGCTATTTGCTGAAAACCACCAAAGATTAAATTATAACTGTAACAACTTAATATATACTATTTCTAGTATTTTTAATATATTTTTTAATTAATATCCGACATATAAGAACACTTTGTATGCTTTTAATTCAGTTGATTTATCGTGTATAATATGTTCGACCTAATTAAAAGCACACAAAGTGTTCTTACATGTATGTCTAAATATATTTTAAATTAACTAAAACAACCCCCCTTCCCCGCACCCCTCTCTTCCATTAGTATTTCTTCCTCCGTCTACTAGAGGCGCCCTTGTATAATAAAATTGAAATGTATTATAAGTTGCCTATCTATTTAATAGTATAAGTTTTTTATCTATGGTGTTAAACGTTCAGTTTTAGCAAAGAATAATATTAATATGGGTGATTCTGATTCTGAAAGTGTCCCTTCGGATATTGAAGGCATTGCGCAAAACGTTGTCGATTCCCTACTTCCCGAAAGACAAACGTACGAGCAAGCCTATGTAAAACCTGAAGATTGGTGTAAAGGGAAAGGAATCAAGAATAGTAGTAACGAAAAGGTTCCCCTGGCATATTTTAAACATCTTTCAAAACATAGGAAGGCTTCATCACTTTGGGTATATTATTCCATGCTACGTTCAGTTATATCAGTGAAGAAAAATACAGATATTAGTAAGTACGTCCATTTCATTGCACTTCTAAAAAGAAAATCGGAAGGATTTTGGTAAAAAAAATCGAGAATTTTAATAAAAGAAGACTTAACTCGTTTTTTGTTGGAAGCCGATGATAAAACTTATTTCCTGTTTCCTGACAAAAATTTCATTGATAGTGGGACTTGCGAGAGCCAGCGGGCGCCGGCGGGCGAATCGAGTTGACAAATCTGCAGCTGCAAAATGTTAAAGATGAAGGACAATGCATTCATGTCATTATTCCATTTACGAAAACAAAGATATCACGAGATTTTTTTAGAACGAAAGGGAATGTTGAAGGAATAAACATGGTGGAAATGCTTCGATTCGTATATATTATATATATATATATATATATATATATATATATATATATATATATATATATATATATATATATATATATATATATATATATATATATATATAGCTATGCGGCCAAGCAACACAGAGCATACTCGATTTTTTGTGGGGTACAGAAATGGAAAATGTATTAAGCAACCCGTTGGCATTAATACTTTAGGGAAAATACCGTATAAAATAGCATTGTTCCTAAGTCTTCCAAATCCACAACAATACACTGGACATTATTTCCGTAGATCGTCTGCGTCGTTGCTTGCAGATTCAGGAGTGGATTTATTAACTGTTAAAAGACATAGTGGTTGGCGCTCTAACACAGTGGCAGAGAACTATATAGAGAATTCCACAGCAAATAAGAAAAAAGTGTCATGTAATATTTTGGGTAACATTTCTGGCAATGATGGGTCTTCAACAAGTTCAAGCACTCAGGAAATAAATTTACTTTGTAAAAATTCAACTCACCTGTCATCGTCTGGAATTAATTTACCAATTACCAACAAACCAATTGTACTGATATTATAATTAATGTTTACAATAAATAAACGTATTTAGGTACCTTTTTTTGCTTGTTTCTTATTTTAAAATTTGCGTGTTATTATTAATTCTTAATAGCACTAGTGCTATTATGAAAGCCATAATGACATCCAAATGACAATGTAAAATGTGTCATAATGACATTGTCGTAGATTAAAATAGTTTATGCTAAGGTTTATGCTTATTTTTTTTGTTAAAACAGAGCTACAACTTAATAAATAAATTTTTACCATCAATAAAGTTTGTACAACATCTCGTATATGGTACTAAAAGCTGGAGTCGCTGTAAAATAACATCACACAATAGGTAAATAATAGATTTCAGTACTGCAGAAAGATAATGTCATAAGGTACTATTTAAAAAAAATAAGATTAAAGTTATAATTAACCAACTTTTAAGGTATAAAATTCCAGTAAGTGTTATTATTAATAAAATATTTTGTTTTATTTATGTTGTGTTTTATTTATTCCTGTGCAATATTAATTTTTTTTTATTTGTACATAAGTTAGGTTGAAAAATATAAAGGTGCGTATTCATTATCCGAACGAACGAACGAACGAACGAATGAAAGTGCGGTATATTTAGACGGGGACCGAACGCATGCGGCCGTTCGTTCGTTCGTTCGCTCGGTCATCCGTTTCGAGTCGGTACATCAAAGGCGTTCGGTATCGTACGGTCCCCGTCCACACCACTAGCGAACATTCGTTCGTTCGTTCGTTCGTGCGGATAATGAATACGCACCTTAATGATAAATGGAGGAAGTTTCTTGAAGCTTGAAAGTGAGAAATAGCTATTTTTATATATTTTTTTGATATGTGGTGGTCTTGTTTAAAATACACCCTTGGTTTGTTTTGTATTAACACACGCCGTAATTTTTTTTTGAAATAAAATATTTCGATTAAATTTTTTCAGTTTTATATACAGTATTTTTTCACAATATTTTGAATTAATCACTTGTCACTCGAATTTTAAATATATTAATTTCCTGCTATGCGTTCCAATTGTGCCAACTTATTTCTTTGTAAAATAAAATAAACTCCTTTGAAATTAAAATGACAGACACATCTATCACTGTCAAGGATTTTCTCGTAGGACAGACTATACAGTTCTGTACAAGCACAAATTTCTGTGTTTGGACAAACCTATTATTTAATAAATATCAAAATAAAACTCACACGAGCATCGTATACTTTCTTCAGGGCATCATATCGAATAGAACCCAAGAATATGACCCCTTGTACCGTTCCCACTTTATCTGCAGCTACCAGTTCCACGCACACCATTTCGCCATCCCTAACTAATATGTCTTGAAACACCTCATCAAAGTTGTCCACCATAAAACAGATATGGGGATAAGTCATTTCTTCTACATCTCCCTTGGTGTCCATTCTCCTTCTGCTGGGCGATGCATAGACTTTCTAATAATTAAAAAATGTATAATTAAAAATATTATTAAATTATGTACAGGGTATCCAGTGGCGGATACAGAGGGGGGCCCGGGGCCACCCTAAAATCTGTTAATTGGTTTGAATATTAGGCTTTTGGGTTAAAAATGGCGCCGTAAAAGGCATATTTTGCATTATTTTTTATTTGGGCCCCCCTAAAATAAATTTCTGTATCCGCCCCTGAAGGTATCCCATTTTTGTTGAAATCATACGGTATCTTCGTTATTAGTGAAGATAGAAGGGTGCGGTTTGCACAAACCTATCCCACTTTTTTGTGAAATGGAAAAGATGCCGTAAACAAAATTTTCATAGCCCTGTTCGTTTCTGAGCTATAGGGTCTTTCTGAAAATTTTGCAATTTGAGACAACCCCTGTATCTCTGTTATTGTTAAAGGTATCGAAAAGGTGAAAATTGTTAAAGATAGAATATTTTTAAAGATATGGACTAAATTTGTGTTTTCTTAAATGGAACACCCTGTATATTTATAAGTTATATGATCTTGGTTGCTATAAGCTTCTCAAAAATATATATCACTCTATATGTTTATTTTCACTATTTACTGTAATATATAAAAGTATTTATTAAAAGATCATATTTATTAGTAGGCCATGATTAATAAATTAAAAAAAAACTAAAGAATTATTAAAATTATCCTGCTATCTGTCTCTTGTTTTATTTTGGGAGCCACTAATAAATACTTGGTATGTTAGGGAAACTTATGGTGGGTTCATACAGCCAAATAAAATAAAATAAGAATAAAATAAAATAAAATAAGAAAGTTGGTTATATGGGATACCGTACATGCGTTCATACAGCCAAATAAAATAACAAATAAAATAAGAAGTCTTTATCTTTTAACTTCTTGTTTTATTTTATGTGAAAACGGCTTTGCGCACGCTTAATTCTAACCTACAAATATTTTCAGTTTGATTTAATTTATTTTATAATTTCACATAAGTAAAATGTATAATATAGTAGGCAACGAATAAATAAATATACTATAAATAGTAAAATTACTATAAACAATCGTAAAAGTTAACTTTTGTCCAGCCTCATCGTACTGCGCATGAGCAAATATATATTTCTTATTTTATTTTATTTGACTGTATGAACGCACACAAATAAGAATTCCTTATTTCTTATTTTATTTTATTTGGCTGTATGAACCCACCATTAATTCTCTACCGCTTCTTTCGGTCAGCAAGATGGGGCTCCCTTTCACAACTTTGGAAATATTAGAATTTTGTTAAATTATTTTTTCTCAAATCAATGAATTGGAACCAATGGATCCATATAATGGCCTCCCCGATTTCCGGATTTGTCCGTTCCCGATTTCTGATTTTGGGGATTTTTGAAATATGAAATATATCGTGGCAACTACAACAGTATCAAACCCCTGAAAAATGCTTTAATAAAAAGTTCTACAAGAATCATATTTCATCTTCTCGATATCATCCACAATAACGGAGATACTGTCCCAAATTGCAAAATTTTCACAAAGACCCTGTAGCTCAGAAACGAAGAGGGCTACGAAAATTTTGTTTACATTACCTTTCGTTTGACTTTCGTTGCTAATAGGGGATTCAATCCCGAACAATTTTATGTCGTCGGGATCCCGGGATTCTTAACCCCGAATCTCGGGATCCCGGGATTTCAGTAATAATGTTAGCGATGTTACTTTCAAAGAACATTTTAATAAAATTAACGTTAATTAGTTAAAACAAAAACAAAGTCTTTGGAACACAAAAATACACTATGAAAATATGAACCCTTCCTGGACACAAACGGTACATTGTGAGACAGGAAATTGTAGAGAGAAACAAGCCCTATAACATAGGATACAACATTTTAATGAACAGTGCTTTCCATAAAATCAATAAAATGAAAAATATACGAAATAAAATAAATGTACCGATTTCTTTCGAAAATCGACATCTATGAAAATATGAACCCTTCCTGGACACAAACGGTACATTGTGAGACAGGAAATTGTAGAGAGAAACAAGCCCTATAAGATAGGATACAACATTTTAATGAACAGTGGTTTCCATAAAATCAATTAAATGAAAAATATACGAAATAATATACATGTTCTGATTTCTTTCGAAAATCGATATCTATGAAACTATGAACTCTTCCTGGACACAAACGGTACATTGTGAGACAGGAAATTGTAGAGAGAAACAAGCCCTATAACATAGGATACAACATTTTAATGAACAGTGCTTTCCATAAAATCAATAAAATGAAACATATAGCAACTAAAATAAATGTTCTGATTTCTTTCGAAAATCGACTTTTATGAAACTATTAACCCTTTCTGGACACAAACGGTACATTGTGAGTAGGGGATTCAATCCCGGACAATTTTATGTTGTCGGGATCCCGGGATTCTTATCCCCGAATCTCGGGATCCTGGGATTTCAGTAATAATGTTACCAATGTTACTTTCAAAGAACATTTTATTAAAATTAACGTTAATTAGTTAAAACAAAAACAAAGTCTTTGGAACACAAAAGTAAGTAAATATTCTTCTTAAACAACATTAAACAAAAATAAAAAATCTCAAACAAAACAAAAAAGAAACTGGACTGATAATATTATTCCATATTTTTTAAAAAATAGCGCAAAAATATAATATTGTCTATTGTGTCATCTCCCATAGCAGAACGAAATTTTGTAACTATCAAGCCTGCTGACGATAAACACCTTTCCGATTCTACACTTGTAGGCGGTATTGTACTTAAAAATTCAAAAGCTAGTTGTAAGTTTGTTCCACGTTGTCCACTCTTCTGGAACGTATCCATTTCATTTTTTATTTGGGCTTCGAAGTTTTCAGTTTTTGTTACTGGTGGCACTGTCATTCAATTTGACATTTTTTTGGTTAACGCTTCATCTAGCCTCTCCGAAAATGACACGTCATCATTTAAGGCCTAGTACCTGTTCTGAATAGTAGCAATTGGCAAATCTTCATCCGATTCCGAACTATCTGAAGAATCTAATATGATTTTACTTGTTATATCTAGTCGTTTTAAGAGGTTTGCTACTTCTTGTTTCAAAAGTTTTTTATTATACCGGGAATCACCGACGTATAGAGATGGGCAAAAGTAACCGGTATTTTCCTCTAAAATAACCGGTTATTTAAAGGTAGTTTTTTTTCACCAGTTAACCTAATAACCTTGCATTACGTTCAATAACCTAGAGCCGGTTATTTTTAAAAAAAAATCGTACTTGTTTTAAACAAGTAACAATTAAATATTAGCTGTTGAATCGTAAATTTCGAAGAAGCGAACGGCACGGATCTTCCCGATATGTCGACGATAACGGGAGATCCCGCTCCCAAAACGAAAATATATGACATCAAACATCAAATGTCAAAATTAAATCAGGCATCAGGCGAACCCTGATAATAATCAAAACAACGGCCGAATAGTCCTGACAGGTCAGGCCGTAAAACAAAGTACTAATGCCATAGACTACTACTAGCCACCAGCTAGCCAAGTGATACGAACCTAACTTCAAATAGATTCTCTAAATTCTATATTTAAATTTTAACCAACTTTAACGGATTTTCAACGGTTCTTCAGAAGTTTTCCATGGTTTCGCCCAGTTTCACCGTAAATATATTTTATTTGTAGTTTGAAGTCTCTCTTGAAGCTTAGACTAAGAATACAAAATTGAAGTTCAAGTAATGAATGAAGATAATCTTTCATTATTTATTCATCAGTCTCCTTATTTTTCTTTGGTATTTGATTAAAATAACTTGGTTGTAGATTGTAGAACTTGTGAGTTGTGTGGTTTATTTGAACGTTAAGTAATTACTAGTTTTAATATCATATCCATGTCTACTCAAAAAGTGAGGTTAGCATTTTATTTAAATTCATTTTGTACATATACATACTTACATTGCTACAATCTCTATTTAATCATGCGATTTAACTAAGTTTATTATCTAAATTTGAAGTAGACCTATGGAGTGTAGAGGTAAGTAAACCTATAGGAAAACTAAATATTTAGTTTTGCTAGGTTAGGTTATTTGAATAACCGGTTAATTTGTGTCGGTTAATTTTGTCAAGTTATTATTTTTTAAAGATAATTCCGCTTAACCTATAACCGGTTTTTTACCAATAACCGCCCATCTCTACCGACGTACCGCTTGTCGGCGGCGCGCGGCGGCGGCGCTATAAGGAATTCAACTAAAAGAGTTTTTGCATATACAACCTTAAAAATAGCATTTTATTATATTATATAAAATCCCGGGATCTGTTATTATTTTTCCGGGATCCCGGAATTGAAAAAATCCGATAAAAAACGTCGGGATCCCGGAATCCCGGGATTGAATCCCCTAGTTGCTAATAAAGCAGATATTTCAACTAAAATGGACTTCCCTGTACATATATTCGATACCAATTAAACTTTTAGTTACGTAATCGAGAGCGCCATTTTTAAATTCAATGTTGCCAACCATGGGCATATTGAGCGCCATGCCGACTAACTAAAATTTAAATTTCCCGCTGAGGATTCAGGTGGTAGCTCCATGGTAGCTTTGCTGTAAATTATTTTTTATAGCAGAGCTACCACCTACCACTAGTTGCCACATTTATTTATTTCCTGATATTGTCATTCGTTTTGACATTTTAGTTTTGATATTACGAGTTTTTGGTTTAAATGAATTGTGTTGTGATATACTTAGGCTGTATTCCGTTGCAAAACCAGGCGAACCAGACCGGTAAACTACGGTAAAGAGCGGTTCCTGAAAAACATCGGTTTGATACGGAACGGTTTGGCTATGCGGTTTGGTAAAATATTGGAAATGTCAAATGTTGAGGTTTTCTAAATTTCAATACTTTTATTATAAAATTTATCTTTTATGCATTTTTGATGTACCTATTCTCTGCTTTTACGTTTGCTTCTTCTTTTCAATGGAGTTTAATATTGAAAAGTACTTTATTAATAAACTGTTAAACTCGTTAGACAGCTCAAGTGAAGATTTGCAGGTCCAATATTAAAACAGATCAATAATAAATAAACAAATCTAATCAATATTTATATTTTTATAGCTTACAAAACATTCACAATTACTTGTTGTCTTGCTTTGTTGATGTTTTCTTTAAATGTTCCTGACTTTAAGAGACAATGGCACAATGATAGGTGAGTTTAAATGGTCCTAAAAAGTCATTCTATTTAGTTAATGAAATTTATTTACCTTTACAGCCTACCTTCATTGCTTTTGGATATAAATACAAAATATTATAACAAATTTTAGAAATTAAATGAGAGTTTCACTCGAACTTCCAATATTTTCTTGATTTCTGTCACATAAATGACATTGATTGACAAACAAAGCCAGAAAAAAACAGCCTTCTCGCGCTGGTTAGTTTGGTGACAGTTATAACCGAATTTTTCAGGAACCGTGTTCCGCAATAAAGAAAACTTTCAGGACACCGATAGAAACGGAACATAAAACACTAACCAAGGTAAGCAACGAAATACACCCTTAGATTAAACATTTTTACTAGCAGACCTTGTAGTTTAACATTGTTCTTTTTAGAATCTCTTAGAGCGAAGTGTATAATGTCTTAGCTGTTGCAAAAACTTATAGCCAGCTTATAGCAACCTTTATGTCCCTTAAGTGCTGTTAAGAAGGTGAGTTTTGTTGATGTAAATAATAACTGTTTGTATATTTATTAAAAATTAATTTATTTTTGTTTTCTAAAATGTTTTGATTAAAAGAAAATATGTAAGAGTGCGCAACGGTGTGCCGGTCAGGCTTAATCACGTGACTAAAAGTTTATTTGGTATGATCATATATAAAAATGATTTCTATATAATATGTGACCTTAATTTTTGTTCTCCGATTTTAAATACAGATCATTAACTATATTTTATTAAGTACAAATGAAATACATTATAAATAAACTCTTAAAATACTTACCTGAGAGTGTCTTTTGAGAACCTGCAATTCTTTCGGGCTGGTACGAGTGCAAATTGCCAAGGTGAGTGTATATTCGAACTGGTGTATAATTAAGTTGAGATAAACCGTTTCTTCCCAATCTATATCTGGATCTCCGATTGGCAATTTCCTACTGTCTTTTCGGAAAACGTCTACCTCAGTCTAAAGAATAATCACAGTGTTATTTTATTATACAAAACATATAGGTAAATGTTATTTCTACACATTGTTTCAAAATTAATATCTAAAATGTTTATTTGTAGTAGGTAAAACTCAACGGTGCGGCGCACAGTGTGACGAAATCTAGAACAGGTGGACATTCATTGGCGTAACTACAGGGGTGCCCGGGTATGCCGCCCCCCCCCCCGGGAATTGCTGGGCACCCCCCCCCAGAGAAATATTGAATTATGACTCTTGGCTACGTATTAATTTTTATTTGCTTGTGATGCAGTACAAATGAGGTTTTTTAGTTTTGTTTAGTTAATATTATCACAGATTATACAGATCGTAAACTTTGTTTTTTCTTTATTGTTTTTCGTGGTTCCAATTTTCGTAATCGGGCACTAATTAGGTTACTAGTTTGCGCACATAGCACGCCCACTTATGGCCTCTAAAATTGTGCACAGCGCCTGACCGACACAGTTATTAGAGAGATATCGGAAAACCGAATAGCGTCATGCAGTATTTACGCGTACCTTATCATGGTTACGATATGCGCGAGTCAATTTTTAACGCAACGCCCGCTAATAACGTTACCGCCTGACGTAATTTGCGGATCAATTACACCAAGCGCTATTTCTAAATAACGTTTAAAAATTGCTTAAATGGGCATGTCAGGTATTTGACAACCGGGGCCGGCCGGCGAGATCTTTTATTTTAGGTTATGTTTGAATTGTTTTGAATTATTACTTTTGTTTTAATAGGTAATTTGATATTTAAGTAGCTTGGATTAGTTTTTATTAAATAAATATGGCCCAAAATATGGATTCCACCTCTTCCAATATTATATATAAATTCGGGTCAGAACGTCCTACGACGTTGTCCGATGCCTAACTTCCACCCTGTGCGATTTTCCCATTGATCTTCGGTCAGATTTTTATCGCTCATCGACCTTCTTATTCCTTCCATCCATGTTTTCTTGGGACGTCCTCTCTTTCGTTTACCAGGTGGTATCCAATGAATGACTTGTTTTGGAATTCTTTCATTGTGCATTCTCTGAACGTGGCCGTACCATATTAATTGTTTTTGTTCTATATCATTTACTATTGTTCCCTCTATTCCCATCTCTTGTCTAATGTCTTCATTTCTGATCTTATCCCTCCGTGAAATTCTCATTGCTATTCTAATCGCGTCCATTTCTGTTGTCTCTAATTTCCTTTTATTCCTTTCAGTGAGTCGCCATGTTTCACATCCATAGAGTAATATGCTTTTAACTAGTGTCTCGTATACATTATATTTCCTGTTTTTTGTAATTTCAGTGCTCCATAGAATGCCATTTATGCATCTGATAACTCTTCGTGCCTGTATTACTCTGTTGTTTATTTCTCTATCGTCCGTTCCATCTCCTGTAAATATCGATCCCAGGTACCTGTAATCTTCACATGCCCTAATTTCCATATTATTGTCTAAAATAAGATTTTCTGTATTAGCTCCAATTGGAAGGTATTTTGTTTTTTCTGTATTTACTGTGAGACCCCATTTAGCATATTCTTCAATTATTTTCCGCACCATATATTCCATGTTATCTATGTCGTTTGCAATTATGGCCTGGTCGTCTGCAAATTGCAAGGTGTATAGGCATATGTCATTTAGTTCTATACCCATTCCGTTACATTTTCTTTTCCATAGATGTAAGGCCTTGGCAATATAAATTTTAAATAGTGTTGGGGATATACTGCAACCCTGTCGGAGCCCTTTAGTGATAGAAATTTCCTCTGAGAGACCGTTGACAATTTTTATTTGTGATTTTCCTCCATGGTAAAGATTTTGTACAGCTTTTATCAGAGCTGCGTTAATTCTTGATTCGTGCAATACTTCCCATAATTTTATTATTGGCACTGTATCATATGCTTTTTGTAGATCGATGAATGTTATATGAACTTCCTGGTTCATTGCAGATTTCTTCTCGATGATCTGTTTCAATGCAAAGATATTATCTGTACATGATCTTCCGCTTCTGAAACCATTCTGCTCTTCTTCTTCGTAGCTGGAGTATTCCTCTTCAATTAAGTTCCTCAGTATCCTTGCATAGAGGCGACTCATAGTGCTGGTGACCGAAATTCCCCTGTAGTTATTGGGATCCTTCCTTGAGCCCTTTTTATATATAGAGGAGATATATGCTTTTTTCCACTGTTCCAGGTACTGGATGACCATTTAAGCACTGGTTAACTATGTTTGTTAACATTCTAAACAGTTTTTTGCTTCCAGATTTTATGAGTTCCGCATATACTCCCTCTGGGCCACATGCTCTTCCATTCTTTAAAGACATTATAGCGGTCTTTATTTTGTTGGTATCCACGTAGTGTATTTCCTCTCCTTCAATGTTTATTTCTGGCTGTGGCGGTTCTTGATACTCAGGTCTGTTCTCTGACAACAATTTGGAATAATATTTCACCCATTCTTTGTTGGTTATTATTTCTATAGGGGCTGACTCCTGTTTTTCAGTTGTTGTTGTTTTTATAAATCTCCATACTTCCGTATTCCTTCTTCCGCCTATATACGTATTAATTTCTTTGCATTTGTCATCCCACACTTTATTCTTTTCTTCTTTACCATTCTCCTCACCTCATTTTTTCTTGTCATTATAAGTGCGCTTGTCTAGTTCAGATTTCGAATTTAGTCATTTCAAATACAGTATCTTTTTTTCCTCTACAAGTTTTTCAAGTTCATCAGTCCACCACAACTTTCTGCTCTTTCGTCTCGTCTTTATTCCTAATGCTTCCTCTGCGGCTCCATGAATACTGTCAATTATATTATTGTATGTTAGGTGAAAAGGCCTTTCCGAATCTTCTATAAGTTTTTCATCAAGCCTGTTCTGATAAAGATATTTGACGCTGTCATGCATTAGACTTTCTAAATTATATCTTACTGTGGTAACTGGCTTCGTTCTTCCTGTTTCCTCTTGATTGTTTTGTTTAATTTGATATGGTGGAAAGAGAATTTTTGATCTTAAAAGGTAATGATCTGGGTGGTGTCCGGTGCCCCTTAGGATTCTTACATCATTAATTTTTATGTTGTTACTTTGTTATGTAATTATATAATCTATTATTGATTTTAGGTCACGTGTTGGTTGAATCCAAGTATATTTATGAATTTGTTTATGTTTAAAGAAACCATTTTCTATTGTGAAGTTGTTATACTCGCATATGTCAATAAGCCTATTGCCGTTGTCATTGATATTTTCTTCTCCGTAAGGGCCTATGGCATAGGCTCTTCCAATATTAAAGAACCTATAAAGAGGTTTAGGTTTACAGCAGATGACGACTTAGCCCTTCTAAGAGAATTTGTTGCTTGTTGCCCTCAACCCACTGGCAGACCTTGAACAATAAAGCACTGGAAATAAGCACTTTAGCACTTTAGTTTTAAAATACCTAGTAAACAAAACAATTTCAAAGTTTTAAATTCAAAGTTAGGTTAAGTTTAAATAGCGGACGCGACACGAACAGAATTCTTTCCGATCCGATAACTATAAATGAAGAGAGTTAATACCACCTCACATAAAGGAAATAACACCTGGCCTTATTAACGTCCGTGCACGCTATTCGGTTTAGCGATATCACTCTATTACGCTGGTTATTGTTATTTTACGCGAGTTTATTTTTGCGCACAGGAAATTTGACTCGTTTGCACATCGTCATAAAAAACAATTTTCGTATCACGAATTAGGGATAAGATTTTTATCTGTATACATATAGTATACTTAATCTGTGATATAATTTTGTTGTGTTCAAAAAATGTGTTAATTTTTATTTTTTTAAAAAGTTTGTAGGTATTTATGTAATCTACGGGAACACGGTGTGATAACCAAGTCTATGAAATTTATTGATAGAGAAATTCATGAAAACGTTTTATTTAAAAAATATGTCAACAAAAACTACATGATATAGCCAGAAATGTGATAAGGGAGAGAAGAGATTCGAAATAGGTATTTTGTATAGAAAAAATTTCACGTTAGAGCAAGGAGAAAGAAAATCTTTTTTGACTAATTTCACTTAGTTAGCCATGGAAACAAGTTCAATCGCCGTTGCTCTCAGAAATGTGAAACGGTCATATCCAAACTTTGTAAATTATAATAAACAAAAATTGTAAATATTAATTTTTCAAAAAATGAAGAAAAGCGTGTAGGATTATTGCTTCAACTTTTCTTGTTTTGATGATACGTTGACCGGTGAACGTTACTTACGTTTTTTAAAGAACGGTTTTCAAGACATGTTAGAAAAGTTGAATTTAGATACTCGCTCATTAATAGAGCGGTTCCAACATGACTCTCATTATGACACTCCCCCTCCACAATGAAAGAAATGTTAAGAATTATTTATATCATAATTATGTAGACTCAGGGATAGAAAGAGGTGGACCAATTGCATGGGCCTCCTCGATCACCTGACCTATCCATTTTAGATTTTTTTTAGGCGGTTTGGTTAACAACAAGGTTTACAAAAAAACTTATGAATAATTAAGAGAGGCACTCGAAGAGGCGGAACAGGAGAAGTTTAATTCGACCGGTCGTTCTGTGAGAATAACTAGAGATTCAGTTTTATAAAGATATGCATTTATGCACTCAAAACAATGGTGGATTTTTTCAACATTTTCTAAAATAACTTAAAGTGTATGTAGTGATATTATTTTCTTAAGTTTTAGTTTGTGTAATGTAAATTGTAAAGAGCCGTCTAATAATATATTTTGTCTTTTTATAAGTTATAAATCATAACAAAATAAAAACACCATGCCAACTAAGTGAAATTAGTCAAGAAAGATAAGAATTAGCTATAACTCAGTAATTTATTGAAAAAAAACATATTATAGCTAATATAGCTGAAAGGCTTAAAAAATGGAGCTTTTTATGAAGTCATGACTAACTATGGTTTCCATTTAAAAAAAAACATATGTTTGTGTCATATGTCAAAAATGACAGGCTCTAGAAAAAATCGGAGTACACATAC